AAGATGCTAGTCTCCAGAGGCAGGAGACACAAAGGTGCAGTCAGGACAAACAACAGAGTAGCCTACACCGTCTGCAGACTTAAGACCCATTGGTGAAGACGGAAATAGAGTGGAAGTGTGAAGAAAAGTGTTGAAGGAAAAGGTGATTTAGAACTGTAGGAGGGGTAAAAGTTTTAGTCATGTGGGTCAAGGCTTACAGAATTTAGGAACGGGGACCCCTCCATAGGGGCAAAGACGGAATGACACGAGGGGAAATATTGGTAACACAAACTGAAAGAGCATTTTGTAAGAGAGACAACCGTACAGAAAGAGATAGGTGGTGAAGGGGAACAGGAACCACAGGATGGGTAAAGGTCAAGGCATGACATAAGCAAGAGTGAGGGTGCTGTAAGGGCCGTGCAAGGTGGAGAAGACAGTAGCGATCATGGCGATCCTGTAGAAACAGGACGCCAGTTTCAACATACAGGCTTAGGGTAGGTGTCGAAGGAAAGGTACCAGAGCTGAGCCGTAACCCAGTATGATGCAATGTGTCCAGATGGTGAAGGGTAGAAGGAGAAGCAGACGAGTAAACAGGGCCATAATCGAGTTTAGACAGAACGAGAGAGGAATGTAAAGAGAGGAGCAGTGTCGATTAGCTCCCCAAGAAGTATGGGACATGACCTAAAGTTAGTTAAGGGCCTTAGAGCATTCAACTTGGACGTAAAAAATATGGGGCGACAAAGACAAACGAGTGTCAAAGATTAGCCCTAAAAGCTTTAGCAGATTCTTTGTACAAAAGGGGATGACCCCTGTTACCTAACAGTAAATAGGTATCTGGGAGTTAGCTGTTACAGGCTGCTTCCTAGGGGGGTGCGTGTGTGGAAGAAAAAAAAATTTAGTAGTTAACCACTGAACTGCTCTGTCTCCAAATAACACCCTGGTGCACAAGAAATAAATTCTTTCCAAAAAATTTTTTCTCTTCTTATATTGTTAAAATGCTGAGTCTGATCACGGGGAAACTAAACAAAAAATATTGTATGTGACTTACTTTAGCTGCGATGGAGCTGGGAAGTTGAGCAAATTATGGGCGCTGAGCGTTGGAGCGATGGGGGTCTGTCGGCCCCGCCACCCTGTGCGACGGCAGTTGCTGCGAATAAAATGTTGCGCAATTATTTTGAAGTTTCTCATTCATTTCTTCCTTTTTTTTGCTGTAATATTATTTAAAAGTGTGCAATTTGTGGAATTTATATAATTCAAAGTATAGAACATCGCTATGCTCAAAATTATGGGCCTCATATATGCGACATATTCTACAATCAAACAGTGCTTTTGCTGTTATTACACTATATACACACATTGTATATACCCATCTACGTATGTATTCACCATAACGATCCACTATGTTGGTATGGTGAGCCCAAAAAACATGAGTGAGCTGCCACACCCTGCCAGTCCTCCCTCCCTCCTCCAACACATTACTCGCCAACATTCCTCCTCCCAAAATACTGTTATTGTGTTTATTACACTATTTACACACGTTATGTATAAGTATGTACATGCTTTATTCATGCACATACGTACATACTTGCCATCTCCTCACCTCTCTCTCTTGCCTACTTAATGCTCTTGCTTCCCTCATCTCATCACAATCGACTTTATAATGGTCCAGGACAGATCGAAATGTCGTCGTCTATTCAATTTCCAGTGTGTGGTTTGGTCAACAATGAAATCTTCATGCAAGATCTTATAAAGAAAACCCCTAGAACGAGTTTTGCAGATACGAAAGAGTTTAAGGTGAGTAGGGGATGGTTTGAGAAATTTTGAAAAAAGACGTGGTATTCATAGTGTTGTGAGGCATGGTGAGGGTGCCAGCTCAGACAAAGTAGGGGCTGAAAGATTTGTTCGTGATTTTAAAGATTTTGTAGATACTGTATTGATGGATATATTCCACAACAAGTGTTTAATTGTGAGAAGACATGGCTATTCTGGAAAAAATTGCCGAAGAGGACATACATTACCCAAAAGGAGACGTCACTGCCCGGACACAAGCTAACTTGGGCTAACTTGTGTCAGGATAGGCTAACTCTTGTGCTGTGTGGCGATTTGAAAATTAAACCCTTGCTCGTGTATCATTCCGAAAATCCAAGAGTTTTAAAAAATATATAACGTGCAGAAAAACTGTGATGTAGAGTGGTTTGCCCTGCCATCAAAAAATATCTGCAAGAGAAAAGTTTGACACTAAAGGGCCTGCTTCTCGACAATGCTCCTGCTCATCCTCCAGACTTGGAGGATGCATTGTTGGGGCCACTTTTTTTTTTAGGGATATTCCTGCATGGGCCCTAAGTTTCTGGCTAATGAACCAATGACATGAAGGAGGAGTTTTCAACCTACCTTGTGTTAGGTGTGCAGGTGTCAATAGGCTGAACATAATGTCAGGAGCAAAGGGGGGCGTTTGCCTCTTCAAACACAATTGTGACCATCTTCATCTCTTCGAACTATCCTAAATGCTCTCTTCACCTGTCTGACCAAATTGGGTGTCCAGACCACCTTTGAATCTGAAATTGTAAAATTAATAGTGATTTCAGAATATTCAGTCCATTTATACTAACAAAATTATATACAGTATACTGTAATTGAAATTTTACAGAATGATAAAGGCAATTTAGTAACTTTGTTAAAATGCACATGGGGGAAATACATGAAAATAGGTTAATATGGTTTGTAAGGTTGATGGGAAATGTTTATTACTTTTATGATTTAAAAGATGTATAGCCCTGATACTCCATCCTGGGTGCATTCCACCAGGTAATGACCACAGCAAAAGTTTTCTACGAGGCTCTATTGTCACACAAACTTTTCACATTTTCAAACTTGATTCATCTTTTTTCCCCCCCCCTCGTTCCAGGGGTTTTCTTTAAAAGGTCTTCATGCAAATGCCTTGGTTTCTCACAAATGATGGCCTCTGAAATGCTATCACCTGCTAACTCTTTGTTGTGTATCCAAATTAATAAAAACTTTTCAACATCCTCAAGTGTTTGTGTTCTTTGTTTCGGGATTGTTGATATGCCTTTTGCCACTTTAATGCTCATAATGTCCTTTTTCTTAGCAAGTATAGTGCATATTGTTGACATAGATTTGTTGTACTGCCTAGCTAGTTCAACAACCTGTGCACCATTTTGATGTTTATGAATGCTCTCTTGTTTTTCCTCTATGGTCATTCTCACATGTGTTTTCTTGGCTTGAACCTTACCACTGGCTTTCTTGGGACTCATGGCAAGATATATCATAACAAATTTTATGTTCAAATAGCCAAAAATCCCAAAACAAATGTAATGCTTTACAAAGAATTCAGGCGCGATACTTACTAAGCAGGAGACACTGGTAAACTGAGGCGCGATCACCATGCCACCACGCGCTAGGTCAGCCCATACATATATCAACAAACTCCTTTCCCGAGGCAAAGTTTGTAACCCGATTCAAATTTTTTGAAGAAATTAGGCTCGTAACCCGAAAAGTTCATAAATATTCATTCGTAAGCCGAGGTGTCACTATATATAACTAAAAAATTAAACTCAGGATTACTTTCAACCCGCACCCCTTTTGCTCTACTCCATCGCCACCTACCTTCACCCCCCTCTATGATGTACTCTTCCATAGACACCTACCTTTGCCCCCCTCCTCCCCTCTACTCCTCCATCATCACCTACCTTCACACCCCCTCCCTTCTCCTCCTCCATCGTCACCTTCCTTTCACCCTCCTCTATGATGTACTCTTCCATAGACACCTACGTTCACTGCATATAATGCTCCCCTCTATTCCTCCATCGTCACCTACTTTCACCCCCCCCTCCGCTCTACTCCTCCAGGGTCGCAGACAATTTCACGAGCGTGAGAACTACGAGTTCTCTAACCACTCTCACACTCCTACTCTCTCACCAGTGAGGGGGAGGGAAGGAGGGAGGAAATGAAGGAAGAAAGGTGGGGGGAGAGAGAATAGGCAGGGGGGAGGAGGGCCTAGATACATTTCTTCCATATAGATAGGTTGACTGAGGGAGAGCTGCTTGCCAAGAGCCCTATCAGACAGGCTTCCTATTCCTCAACCCTCCCTAATATGCCACATCCTGGTCAGGACAACTTGCTCGATTGTTATTCTTGGTGTGACTCGAGAACTGACCTCGAGGCGGGGCATGGGCATGGATTATCTCCCTAGGGCACGCACCTCCCTGCCCCAGCTCTCTCTCTCTCTCACATAATCTATCAAGGGTCTAACATGAGGTCATTGTGCCTACCAGAAGTGTATATGTCCAAGGCTGGCCACCTGTCTGGACCATTCAAATGTATAAACACGTAATTAGTCTATTAAAATTATATATAATGCTACAATTATAAATTAATTTGTTCATGGTCATTCGTTTATCAGTATTTTAATATGAGGTATATATACGCATGTATGTATACGTTGACGTACACATATATGATTATGTGTATGGAATGATTATGATTATGTGTAATCATATATGATTATATCTAATGGAATGCATTAGTAAGTGATGTGGTGGAGGCTGACTCCATACACAGGTTCCAGTGTAGATATGATAGAGCCCAATAGGCTCAGAAACCTGTACACCTGTTGATTGACGGTTGAGAGGTGGAACTAAAGAGCCAGAGCTCAACCCCAGCAAGCACAATTAGGCGAGTATATGAACGAATGCACATGTACACTTTCAAATGAATTAAGATACCTTGAGATACACAATGACTTGGTTTAAATAGTTTAAACACATTATGGTACTGATTTTGACATGCTGATGTCTGGAAGGGAGAGGGGGTGTGGGGGGTTATTGTCTGAGGTGGAGGACCAGAGGAGGGGGTCAGTGGAAGGATGGTGGCTGGAGGGATGCCATTGTTCTAATGGTTATGAAAACAATTATTGATGGCAGGAATTCAGTGGGTGTGTACTTCACCCCCACCATCACCATACTGGTTTGAGGGGTGTGGGGGGGGGGGGGGGAAGGTTTCTCATGGTAATGGATTTGGTCTGAGGACGGGCTCTACAGCCAACTCGTCCTCTCAAAATAACGTCGCTTTTTGCTGGTATACGCGCTAAGCAAAAATGGATGTAATTTGAAATTGAATAAGCTCATGAAAGTGATGTACTGTTCCGTTTTCTGTTTTGAGTTCTCTGGCTTTCTCAGTTAGGTTATGAAAGGAAACTTTCAATTAACGGCTTTCATGATGTTTTTAAACCTTACGAGAACTTCCTGCTCTCCTAACCTACTGGAGGACCCATAACTTGCTGTTTTTTTGAGAAAAAATTACAAAATTTATTTTTAATTATTTTTCATTTTCAAATTACGGTACGTCCAATTTCGGCCATACGGCCAAATTCAGACGTAATTTGTAAGAGAATTCTTATGTTGTTTTGATAAGTAAAAACATTCATGATATCTTCAACATTCTAACATTCAGATTTTTGGTTCTTACCCAAGTTAGAGATACATGTGAAACACGAGACGTTCTTGTGTCACTGCTGCTTGGTGTTCACCAAGTTTGTCACTCACAATAGAGGTCAAGTCTACACTTTAGACTTATTATATCTCTTCAGACTGATCGTATCTGTGCGATCCTGTATCGTGTGCGGCAGTGAATATAACCACAATCCTCACTGAAATACGACCCAACAAGAATTTTATTAGACAAAATTTAATATTCGTTTTATCAATAATGAGCTACGTTTACACGCTACAAGATCAGCCACACTGACACCAGCTGATGCAAATCTGTAAGGCATCATGGTAAGGTTTAAGCATCGTAGGAAACTCAGGCGCGCTATGACGATCCGTTTCAATGAAGACGACGTCCCACCTAATTTTTCTTCTAGTATACCAGTTTCATGCCATCTCTAAAATGCAAGATTCTTCGAGAAATTAAGTATCTCAAGGAGACAGATCTGATGAACGCTTTAGGTTATACGAACTACGGGTGGGGCTTGTGGTGAAAGTAGAAGACATGGGGGTTAAAGACATTCATCATTGCTACCAATACACAGTAGGGTTTGAGAATCAATACAACAAGATTGAAAATAATTTTATTCATATACAGTACATGAGACTAATTTCCTACCTTATAAATAACTTTGACAATGGAAATGTCAGGTGATAACAAAAATTAAATATACTGTATTGGTAATAATTGAAAAACTTTATCGTCAATATTTTACAAATTTTGAATTGAAATAATGGTTGCTGCTACATCTGTAAGATGAAGGGAAGTACGAACGCACATGTAGGCTGTCACGAGGACTAATATTTTAGACTATAACGACTTCTAAATAGCCTATTACCTCACATTACCACATTTGAATAGAAAAAACACACACACACACTTCAGAATTTTGATCTCAATGTAAAGCACAATGACAGCCTGATTATGACCTTTATTAAATAGTTTACCTTACGTATGTTTGAATAATATTACTGATCTTAAAAGGGAATTTTAAACACTTTGCTTTACAGACTAATTAGAGTATTTTAAAATTAATCTAAACAAAATACAAGAATTGGTTTACATTAAATTACTATATAAATTATCCTGTTTAGTGTGTACTTTCAATGTATCCAAGTTATATTTTTTTCAAACGGTATTGTATTTTTATTCTATATTAAATATATAATAATGAATTACTGTATTACATATTAATATAGAATAAAATACAATACTATTTGTAAAATAAAACTAATATAAACAAATCCACAAGGGCCGACACAAGGATTCGAGCCTGTGTCCGAGAGCATCCAAGACGCTGCCTTAATCGACTGAGCTACAACATAGTCAAAAAATAAAACCCTGGTTTGTGCCTCGGAAAGGCTGCAGGATCCAGTAAGTTCAGTAGAACTTCAGTTTCAACTCCTTTTGACCATGTCGTAGCTCAGTCGATTAAGGCAGCGTCTGGGATGCTCTCGGATGCAGGTTCGAATCCTTGTCACGGCCCTTGTGGATTTGTTCATTTGATGCTTCAGGCAATTGTGATTTGTGTGTGTAAAACTAGTATATATATATATAAAAAAAGTACATATCTTTGTGGACCTTGTACTAGGATTAGTAGTTGAACTAGATGATTCCAGCATCCCTTGCCATGCCATATAAAATAGAGTTGGGTTGGCTGAGGAGAGCAGCGGGGGTGTCGAATTCTGCTATCCTGCCTTCTTGCAGCACCATCACCCTAAAAGGAAACAAATCACACATTAAGCCATCCTCTCCACACACATAATCTATGTCAATATTATTATATAATAATTACTGTTGTCAGGTACAGGAGGCATGTACTTAGTGTTGTATCAAGGCCCCTACTAGATCAAACTACTCACTTTGCCCAGGATGCATCCCACAACAGTTGCCTAACTCCTGGGTACTTATTACTACCAGGTGAACAGTAATCATTCTCAACCATTTTTGTTCCACCTGGGGATCGAACTTGGGATCCCCCCGATTGCGAGTCAGAAATGTTGACCACTGTACCACAGGCCTTGTCAACACAAATGATATATTCGTGTGATGTATGTTATTTAATAACAAATAATCTTTAAAATACAGTGGTGGTCCTACATGAGTTTGAGACCAAGTGTTCATCAAGGTTGGTTGTCTTATTGATTTTCATTGGTGTGATGGTGTCTTGTCTTAGGTGGTCTCCCATTCCCTATTACAAATATTTACATCCCCCTAGACTAACAACTGACCTTTACCAGGATGCAACCTATAACAAATGCCTAAATTCTGGATGTCTGTTTACTGCTAGGTGAAGAGAAGCATCAGGTGTAAGGAAGCATACCAAACATCTTTACTGGGAATAAAACGCATGGAATTTGCAGACACCAGACATGTCCCATCTCGAATGCAAAAGTATATGTAATGGATGCATATAAGATGGTTTGTTTCAATCCTCCAATTCAAAATGGCTGTGTAGCTTAATATTTAATGTTTTCATTTTAATTGTGATGCGTGACATTAATTTTCCTTTGCCTTCCCATTATACATAGTGTTCCTTTATACTTCATGTACAGCCTACCTCTCGTCTTGCATACACCTCATATATAGCCTCTATCTTTACATCAGAACAGGGCTTGGAAGACTAAATACCACAGTTATGTCCTAACACAGTCTGTTTTAGAGATAAGGTAGGCTGTTAACAAAGTTACATTATAAATAAATCAATAAACAATATAGATTAAAGTACTTTAAACACCTACCTGTCATAATCCATTATAGTGTGAAGGCGGTGTGCAATAGTGAGAACAGTACAGTCAGCAAACTGTGAACGAATCGTGTTCTGGATGAGGTGATCAGTCTCTAGGTCTACAGCTGCAGTTGCCTCATCCAGTACCAACACCCGAGAGTTTCGTAACAGAGCACGAGCCAGGCACACCAGCTGCCTCTGACCCACACTGTCCACAAATGCATCATGAATAATTTTAGGCCAATTTAAATAAAATATGGAACATATTTCCAGTAACTACATGTTTTGGTATCAATCTAAAAAATCTAATGGAGTTCAAGAACCCCAAACTTTTTCAGGATTTTTGTACATAAATTTATATTGTAAGCAAGAGCCCCATTCACCTATTTCTATCCATAACACTGTTCCTAGTCTAAACCAAATTTGTTTAGTAGTGCATAGTAAGACTACACATGATAAAGAACAATACTGAACACCAGCGTAAATGAATCATATACGAGGCGGAAAAATGAGAGGGGTTTCCTCTTTGGATCCTAGATTTCAAATGAGTTTTCAGACATCTTGTTGACTTGAGTTGCAAACCAAGGCATGGTTGCTACTTAGGTGACACCTAATGTCACAACAAGATGAATCCACTACTGCAACTAATCTCCTATTGAACTTGACCATTCCCATGGTCTCCAGGGAAACCAAGTCAAATTGGACTAACAACTTCAAAGGCTGCTGGATTATGAGGGAACTCAATAGGGAAACACCCGAGATCTTGCATCTTAATTGTAAATTACAGTTGAATACCAAGAGCCGGGTATTTTACCTCCTCTTCATCTCCTAGCTTCTTCAACTTGTAATTACCTCTATTCTTAGTTTTCTTCTTTATCATCTTATTGCTTCTTGTTATGTGTGTCCCCTTTTCCAAAGACTTGCAATACCTCTAGACTCAGTTGGGACTCACTGATGTCCACATAGGTGAATATCAACAAAAAGAATGGTGTGTGTTAACATGGAGGTGGCAGCTCCCAGTGGAGAAGCATCTGGCAGTGTCCAGTTGAAACTTGAGGGGTTTAACTAACTACTGGCTGCACCATTTACGAGGTCATTTCTGCTTCTTTTCTTTATCAACCATGCACTTGTCTGTTTTGTTCTTCACTTACTTCCTAAATGTTTCCATGGTGTGGGTGATATTAGTGAATCCCCAGCTCCCTACACCTCTGTGAGGGAGGCTCTGGTCTCTGCACTATTCAGGACTTCAACGACAGACGTGACTCATGTGTGTGACGCTATCTCAGTGCTACCTTCAAGGAGCCATCATTCGGATCCTCAAGAAAAGTACAATATACAACACAAGTTGAATATATGCACACACACTGGTCTGATCATCACACATGTGAAATAAGTCACCACTTAGAAATATCCCACCACTGAGAAATAAACTACCAGCGAGAAATAATCAACTATTGAGAAATGAGCAGTCATTACGAAACAAATCACTAGTGAAAATCAAGGGACTCCTGGTTCAACCTTGTCAACGAGTGGACGTCTAAACACCAGGGGGCCAGATTCACGAAGCAGTTACGCAAGTACTTATGAACGTGTACATCTTTCATCAATCTTTAAGAGCTTTGGTTACATTTATTAAACAGTTTACAAGCATGAAAACTTCCCAATCAACTGTTGTTATTGTTATAAACAGCCTCCTGGTGCTTTGGAGCTCATTAACTGTTTAATAACTGTAAACAAAGCCACCAAAGATTGAGAAAAGATGTACTTGTTCGTAAGTGCTTGCATAACTGCCTCTTGAATCTGGTTCCTGCTCTACCTGGAGACTGCTGGAATGAATGATTACTTTACCCATCAGGTCCTGATACTGCCATCAGGCATTCCTCATCAATGGCCAGATTAATACTGGCACATTTATTGCCTGGAGTCACAGGGAAGTTGATAGATTTAAAAAAAATCCTTTTGGTTTTTTGGATGGGAAGATGGTGTCCAATGCCAGCGGCTTGGCCCGAGAGGTCCTGGAAATTTGAGTGTCTTGGTGAGTCCTGGTGTGCCCTTTGGGTATGGTAGGCATCTAGCTCCTCTGCCAGAAGTCAATGAAAGAACATGTTTGTGTTTTTGCCTATTTGGGCACAAGTTTAGGAGGGGTAATTGCATTTCTGCTGTGAATTTGTTTGACTATCCAGAGTTTTCTGTGGTGTGTGGGGTCGGTACTCCTGGGGCTACCAAAACATCTGCCTACCAGTGTTTATCTTCTGCACGGCATGTTAGTGTCTATCAACAGGCGACATGTATATTACAAGCAAATCTTAGTATTTTACAATGCAAAGAATGGCAGGGTACAACTGCCATTGTTAAGATATTAAAAATTATTAAAACTATTGTATAGGTTAAACTACCTTGCCTTGTGTTTATCTTGTATTGGTTCTGGGGATCAATGTCCCAATAGTCCAGTCTCTGATCAGGTCTCCTGGTTGGGGGGTCTGGTTAATGATACAGCTGCTCGTAGTCCAATGTACAAATCATACCTAGTTGATCAAGAATCCTTTTGGAAGTGTCTATCAAGCTCTCTCTTGAACACCATGGGAGATCAACTAGTTATGCACCTTGTGCTTAGAGGGAGTGTTGAAAAATCTTGGGCACTTAAATGTTAATAGAATTCTCTTAGCATATCTCTTGCACCTTTGCTTTTCAATGGGACTATTTTGCACTTTTTGCCATGCCTCCTAGTCTCTTGAGGTGTTATTTCCTTGTGCAGATTTGGAACCAGTCCCTCTAATGTTTTCCAAGTGTAAATTATTATGCCTCTGTCTCTCTTGAATATAGATTTAAAAATTTTAGGTAGTCTCAATAATTTTGACGTTTTATTGGAAAAAAAGTGTGTGACCTGACATTCCACTAGTAGAACAGAGTATACTTTATTTGAAGATATGGCTTTGCCAGTGAGGGCTTTATCAAATCTCAACCCAGCATGGGAAACTATATTTCCAAATTAAATCTAATTTCATCTTGGTGTTTCTCTAAACCTCCTACTGTGTTATGATGTGTTACAACTAGGAGACACACACCTGAAGTTGGCACCATCCTCGTCTACAATGTGGTCCAGGCCATGTGTTTGACTGCTGATGAAGCTCTTGAGGTGCGCCAGCTCCAGGGCTTTCCACAGGTCCGTGTCACTGTGTGCATTGAAGGGGTCCAGGTTGAGTCGAACTGTGCCGCTGAACAGCACCGGATCCTGCAGGGGCATATGGTAGCTTAAAGAATAGAAGGTAAGGGCATTGATAATGAACATAATAAATGAAATTGCAGAAATCCTATTGTCTCACTTAAGGCAGCTCCTATTTTTGGAGAAGCTGAATGGTGACTCCCCAGTACTGAGTCACGTCTGCCTTAGGCGTCATGGAAGGCCAACTGGGAACCGGAGCTGGAACTTGGCTCCCTCAGAGAGGCACAAGGAGCAGGGAATTATGATCACCCACACCAAAAAAAATTCAGAAAGTAAATGAAGGAATACATACAATTGCAAGGTTTCAAGAAAGCAAAGCACTCAAACAGCTTAACGACTCTGCAGATGATGCAATCGGAAACTAGGTTGAACACCCTTAGTTATGGTTGGCCACCAACATGAGGCAGCATCACCGGGAAGCTCCTGGTTTCCAGGCCATTTTAGCCTCAGTCCTATCCTTGATTTCCTCGAATGTAGACCTCCCGGTGTTCCAGCTTTGGCGAGTCCCAGTTTTTTCAAGATAAGTTTGGGCCATCCTTTAGACTCTGTCCTGTGGAAGCCATTTCCTTAGTATAATGTTACCGATTTTCCTATTTTTTTCACAAGCACGATTTTCAAGCTGTGGACTTCATCAAGTTGCATGTGTTTATGACAGCCCTTCCCTAAGTGCTCATTTCAGCATTGCCCTTGTTTTGACAGTTATTTCTCTGGAGATATATAGAGTTTGTCCACGAGAGGCTATTCTAATGTACAGGGGTGCCTCATCCTGGGAAGTGCATGGGTCTTCAACTTCTGAGGCCCTGTAGTTGTAGACGTTCAGGGTTTATTTTTGTGGAGTGCACCGAGGTTCACATGCTTGTCTATATGGATGCCGCGGATACTCTTTGTAGCCATGTGTATCCTGTAGGTTGCATTCAGTGTCAGTTCTACCCGTGAGCATCCCTAGTGCCTGGGTACGTAAAATGGAGGTATGTATTGACTGGTATGCAGTCATTAGCTTTCATTTTTCATTTAAATGTTTTGTTTTATTAGCGTAAATATCAGTTTGTTTTATTTTGTCAATGTAAAGTTTCATGATTCATTTGCCCATGTTTGCAAGTACAGGTATGTTGAGTTGTGTATGAGAGAATGTTTATATTTGTAGATAGGGCAGGGGAGGCAGCATTTTCATAGCCAGTTCCGCGTGTCAGCAGATCATACTGGCACAGGCTTTTGTTTAGGCTTGGTTCTTAACCCTCTTGTCCACTTTTCCCCATCTAGTGTTTTGTGGTGTTTTAAGCTGCTCACAGTCCCCTTGTGGGTCTTGATGGGCCTGCAGTACAGTCCAGATCTCTCAGATCTGTACATCTTCATTCCCTAATCAATGACATTAGTCTCAAAGTCAATAACAACATGACACCCCATGACTCATACCCACAAGTCATAGGTATGGTCCATGACTCAGTAGTGGGGAGCTATTTCAGCGAGTTACCTTCAAGGAGCCACCGAAGCCCTACCATAAAGACACTGCATTACATTCAATTCTGGGTTTTATATTCAAACTCATTTATATATGTATCTAACATTCTTTTGAAACAATCCAGGGATCTCAAAGCTTTAATGTTACCAAGTAATTTGTTCCATTAATCAACAACACTGTTTCCAAACCAGCATATATTCATATAATTATAATATACCATTATAATTAAAGACCATGGTGATACCCACCTGAGGTATGATACTGATGTTCCTTCGCAGGTCATGGAGGCCGACCTTGGCAATTTTTTCATTATCAATGTCAATGTGACCTCCAGCAGCTTCTATGATACGGAAGAGTGCCAGAGTGAGGGAGGACTTGCCTGCTCCAGTCCTGCCCACAATCCCCACCTAAGGAGCATGAGAGCAATTGTCATATAATGTTTCTGTATGGTGACTTGAAATACATGAGTAAATCGGTAGGAAAAAGTGGGGAGAGGAGAGTGAGTGAGCTCTAAGTGAGTAGGAGAGTGAGTGTGAGAGTGGGGCAGTGGTAACACACCCATCCCATGCTTCATGTGCAATTTATTCTGGGTTCAAGTCCAGGTCAGGGAGGATTGAATAGGTGCCAATCCTTAACAGCTCATCTCTGTTCATCCAGCAGTAATTGGGTACCTGGTTGTAAACTGATTGGTGGGTCGAGTTCCAGGAAAACTAGTGGGTAAGGCTTACCATGAGCTATGACAAGGGAAAGCTTCTGGCTTGTTAACAGGAGTCTGGAGTCATTTCCCATCCCTTGTACCCATTTGTGTAAAAAAACAAACTAGCATTGAATGTAATGAAATGCCATTTTCTGGGTGAGACCCGGAGGCTCCCTGGAGATATACTGGGCTGATGTGTGTATATTAGACGGTGGCAACAGTCAACTGATGGAGTTCTATGCCTACTGGGGACCACGAGCCAGAACCTGGCCCCCCTCAGAGAGGCACGAGGAGCAATGCCTATAGACACCTCCATGTAGTTGGAAGCAGTCTATATCTGCCATCTACCAGGTCAGGCTCCCTGAAAGGTAGGAATCCCAAAAACTACAGCTGGTTAAAAATTGCAAACAGAAAGCCAAACAAGCAAACAGAACTTCCCAATCAGAAAACAAGCATACAAGCATGCAGTCACCAATGCCATCATGCCGCTGTCTGCGCAGCTCTCCCCAACCTGGGAGGGGAAAGAGGGGGTCCCAGACCTCCTGCACTAGCCACCCAGCCAAAGTTCAGAGGCTGGACATCAAAAACGCAAAAAAATGCTAACCGGAGGGAGGGAGGGATGCCGGGAACCCTCCGGGTCTCATCCAGAAAATGGCGTTTTGTTACACTCAACACTGGTGTTCTGTGGAGAGCCCCTTTGGTTAGGTAGCTCCGGGGAGACAAAGCTAAAGGAAAGGAGGGACTTACCCAGGAAGCGACCGCCACTCGCTCCTCAACAAGAAGTTGAGACTACTGGCTGCAATCTGCGACCCAAGGCTACACATGCCCGAGAAGGGCCAGGAACATTAACGAGGTACCATGTGGCCAGGATCCTGTTCGACCTCCAAAAGCCCTGTGCCTGACTGTCAGCCCAAGACATTACAAAAACAGCAGCCTCTCCTCATTGCTCTTTTTTTTCAATTCTGCAAGTCATTTAGTACAGTGGCATGTTCCAGCAACTTTTGCAGTTTGTTGATGTGCTTCTTGAAATATGGGCACCATACAACTGCTGCACATTCCAATTTTGGTCTCAAGTCATGAACAATTACTTTAATATTCACTGTCCACATATTTAAAAGCAATTCTGAATATGGAAAGCATAGCATAGGTTTCTCTCACAGGTTTCTCTCTTTAAGTAGTCCTCGGGGTTTTTTTTTTTTTTTTTTTGCAGAACTACCCCAAGATCTCTGTATATGTCCGAGTGTCTTAAAGCCTTTTCACAAAATTTGGAAGTTGTGTGTGGCCTATTTTCTTGGAAGACAAGAACAGTAATTAACACAACCTGGTGTACACATCCTGCATTTACAAAATGTTATGTGAATGAAGTTATTTATGTACGGAATCAACGCCTTGTAAAACACCCACGTACAATTTGACCAGACATCATAATGCCTACTTTCATGGATATTTAAATTCACCCTATTAAGTGCCACAAACAAGATTGCAACAGCTCATAACAGCACTAAGCTCAATGCATTTTACTTTAAAATTGTATTTACCTTGGGTGATGAAATTAATTTTAGGTAGGCTTATGCTATGTCTTGATTTACCTCGGGTCATCTATTTCTCTGCTGGCTTCAGCTTTGCTATTTCCCTACTGGTCATAGGACTGCTGCTTCTCTACTGATATCAGGTCATCAACTATCTTACTGATCTCCACTCTGTTGCTTCCCTACGCACCTTCTCAGCAGGCCTGATGGAACAAGAAATGCCCTTCAGGACGAGATCGAGTCCTGGCCTGAAGCGGGTCTCATAGTTGTCGAAGGTGATGTGCCCCTCTGATGGCCACAATGCGGTCTGTGTCTGATCCTTTGCCACCTGCCAAGGCGCCTCCTGAGGTAGCTGTTGAGGTAAGGAAGATTAAGAAAGGAAAACATTGAGAGAATAAGTAGGTTAACTATTTTCTGGCAAACAACTAATGCCATTAAACTGAAGACAATTTCTGAACTGTGCTCACTGTTGAGAAACAACAGTAATATACATGTGTTGCAAGCCTGAATTAGTATTTTGATAAAACACAGGTTCCAGAAAAATTATAATTATAAACCCCATGTAGTGAGCACAGTGAGCACCCAGCGTGCCTGGGGCCCGACAGCTGAATGGACAGCGCCTCGGATTCGTAGTCCTGAGGTTCCAGGTTCGATCCTCAGTAGAGGCGGAAACAAATGGGCAGAGTTTCTTTCACCCTGATGCTCTTATTCCCCTAGCAGTAAATAGGTACCTGGGAGTTAGACAGCTGCTACGGGCTGCTTCCTGCGGGTGTGTAAAAAAAAAAAAAAAAAAAAGAGGCCTGGTCAAGGACTGGGCCGCAGGGACACTAAGCCCCGAAATCATCTCAGGATAACCCTCAAGATAGGTGTGCTTAATGTGTTTCAAAGTTACCATACTGGCAACTCTGCCTTACCTCAGATTGAAAATAAAAGGATCTTAGCATCATAGTCCACCAACCACTAGAGCTGGCCAGCAAGTTGGACTGATATACAGTAAATTAATAATTTATATGGAACTGAACAATATGGTCAGTAGTACTAAATAAATCCAATGTTGCCCTGCTTGACTGTTCATGAATTGTGTTTAAAACACAGAATTTTTACCCCAGGGAGCAACTAAATGCAATAGCTTAGAAAAGAGCTCTTCTCACCTGTATATATTCATTGATCTTCTCCACAGACACAATGTTAGACTCAAAGTCTGACATAATACGCACCAACCAGTTAAGCTGCAGTGTGATCTGAAATATTACATACACACATTATTATTACCATATTTTCCACTTTCACAGAGTGGGAAGGCATTAGCCCAGAAGCAAAAGTCAATACAGTATAGTAAAATAAGGTTATAGATTTTAAATAATAAAACATTCAAAATATCACTTATTTATTGCATTTTTCACAAAACTGTGTAGCATCACAAACAAACCCTACCACACTCCAGCAGTCATCTACTGCTGCAACCCGCCACTTCTTATTACCATGGATTGTTTTGTACATTATACAAATACATTTACATATTATGATGGCTGAATAGCTTTTCCTCAAACAACAATATCCTTAACATAAGCAAGTTATGAAGCCATGCCACTCTTCCCTAGTTATGCTTCCCTACAAATTCTGGCTTGTTTGCTATGAACATTTACAAAATATAAAAATTCTCCTTAACACAGATGTTAACAAAGTTCTAAGACCAGACTGTATCGGCCCTTACATTTGTGAAAGATGTGCATATCCACTAGCAGTCTTTCTGGCAGCCTCTTCCACATCTGCATTAATTAGCAAACTTGGTCATATGTTCACCTAGTGCTTCTGTTCATGTAATAATTAATGGGTATCCAGGAGTTAGGCAACTGATGTGGATTGCATCCTGGGAAAGGTCAGTCATTAGCCTAAGGTGGACATTAATAAACATAACAGGGTTCTTATCTCAAGCAATAGGAAGCCATAAACTAATTACTACTATATGTAATCTACTCTTGTGGCTATCCTTCTACCATCAAAATACAAAGTTGGCAACATCTCTGACTAGACTACACACATAAATCACAATAGTGTGATGCATCAATGAACAAATCCACAAGGGCCGTGACAAGGATTCGAACCTATGCCCGAGATGATCCCAGATGCTGCCTTAATCGACTGAGCTACGACATGGTCAAAAAGAGTTAAAACCGAAGTTCTACTGAACTTACTGGATCCTGCAGCCTCTCCGAGACATAAACCAGGGTTTTACACAACTCCCTTATGCACTCAAGCTATGTCAATAGGCCGTTCTACCTCTTCGCCCTTACTTCATTACACACAGAAATCACAATAGCATTACGCATCAATGAACAAATCCACAAGGGCCGTGATGAGGATTCGAACCTACGTCCGAGACGATCCAGTAAGTTCAGTAGAACTTCGGTTTCAACTCTTTTGACCATGTCGTAGCTCAGTCGATTAAGACAGCGTCTGGGATCATCTCGGACGTAGGTTCGAATCCTAGTCGTGGCCCTTGTGGATTTGTTCATCCCTGACTAGGTTTCATATTGTCCACACAAGATTAACTCATGTAGTTAATGGAACACAGACTAGCACCTGTCAGAATTGTCTAATTATTTACAGTAACTCATCTCCCAGTAGAATATTCAGATTTTCAGTATGATCGGAAATTACATTTCTTAATGTTCCTTTATGCCACATGTTTCTTGATAAAATCCTCAGGGACTGGCTCCTTTGACACTGATCATCTTTTATCTCTCTGCTCTCATACTGACATTCTAAACAACATCTACAAACTACAGTATTGAATATTCTGTGATATAGACAGTGCTATATAGCCATACTGGCTTGGTGCTTTCTCTTGATAATTACGTAGTGTATACTATTGTGTAATTATAATTAGTGTAATTGTTTTTATATTAAATATAGAGAGTTGTAAATAAATGTATATATTAAATCACAAAAAACAAGAGAGAGTAAAGGTATTCATAAATTACGGTAAATGTAAATATACAGTAAGTGCAATAACCCTTACCAAAACTATTGAAAGAGTAAGTTAGCATATATCAGTGATTATCCCCCAAAGACCTAACATCTGTTCATACACATGTACAAAACCAAAACAAACCAGACTAATAACACTCACATTAAGAGCATATGTGACAGACAGACCAACAATCCCAGGACTGATTGAGTCTCGTCCAGCGACACCCATGATGGCTGCTGAAAAGGTGATGAGGTTACCTATTGTCTCCAGATTTACACCAAGCCACCTGAAATTGATGAAAATTAAATCTTCTAATATAGTGCCGAGTACATGTACTGTAATTATCTAATTTGACTATTTTCTGCAGATTCCTATGATAAGTCACTGGTATATAATGGTAAACTATCATTCCATAAAAGAAAATTTATGAAAAATTCAATGCCAGAAAATTCAGCTTGTTGGAGAACTCTGGCTATTACATACACCATTATATAAATATACCGCATGTGTGTAAATCACAAAGAAATTAACACGTGACGAACGATGCGACAATGTCAGACCACGAAGGAAGGATTAAGACAGGAATTTCCTTAAGTACTTTCGCATTTAATAACACATCTTCAGAAGTATTTTTATTTAATAATAACATCTTCTGAAGATGTTACTTACATCACTTACGTTAATTTGAAATCTTCTCACTACTCGATATGGAAATTTCAGATCAGGAACACATATCCATAGTTGGAATAATCAGACATGTGGAGCTTTAAGTGAAGGTGAGGCAGTGTATGAACAAAGTAGTGAGGGCTAACAATATTAAGATCAAATTTGAATAATAACAATATAATCCACAGGATTGCCGAGACAAATCGCCAGTCAGTTGATGGTTCAAAGGCAGGAATCAGGAGCTGAAGCTCAAATTCATCAGATTCACTTAGACAAGTACTTTAGCATACATATACACATTCATTCCCTCTCACAGAGACTCTCAAACATTCACAGCACAGTACTGTATAATGTTGCTCACCTGAAGGTAGCAATGTTAGAGTAAATAGGTTTCAAACTGTTCTCCAGCAGTTGTAACGACTCATTGAAGAACTCGTCCTGTTTCCTGTAGGCTCGGATTACCGATGCACCTACAGGGTGTGAAAAAGGAGTAAACAAACATAGTGGATTCTAGTTTCTAATTTTTAGTTATGTAGAAGTGATAGTGTAAAATTCTAACCATATTTATATATATCTCAGCATCTATCTATCTCAAACCTTCATTTTCTTTTTCTATATCTCTTCATTGCACTCTGTTTCATCTCTTGCTTTACATTTTCTCTTGTTTTCCTATCTCAATGTCTTTCATAATTGGCATTGCATACTAGTAACATGTCACAAAGTTTTTAACACATCAAATATTACATTTTGAGTTCAAATGAGTAAATACAGTTCTTTGTTATTATAACAACAATTCACTGCTAACACATTACTTTGTTATTTCCTCCACTCACTAATGCTTATGCTAATCCAGTCCATATTATTTAACTTTTAGTGTGGCGATAAAGGACATAACTTTTCTTAGTTAAATGCTAAGTTTACATGAAGATTTCCATCTCAGGTCTGAAGAGAGTTACAGTACAGCATTTGTAAACATGCAGATGACATCACATTCTGGTTTTGGTGCAGAAGAAGGATACATTGTAATTACATTTATGTAATTAGAGTCACCAAGCAGCTCTCATCAGAAGAAATTTCAAAGTCATTTACTTTGGCTATAACAAAGTGATGAAGTCCCTTTGGTGGCATAAAATCTTGATTACTCGTGAAACAATCTCTGAGTGGGGTTGCTCCTAGAGGGGGCTATGTACTGTGGTATGTGCTGTGGTGCACGAGTAGGCACTGTGCTGGGAACATTGTCACCTGCAGTGGATTCACCGATATATGAACCTTGTACATAGTCTATCACTGTCAAGATTCTCTTTGTCATTATCATTAAATTCTTACAGTTTCTTATTTATTTCATCACCTGTAAGTGATGCTGTGGGCACAAGCCACATGGTGGTGCTGCTGTGAGCTACTCCTCCATGTGCTACTCATATTTGCTGTGTTAGTACTGAGGCTTCCCCTCATGTGTCTGAGGGGGTGCCCACAATTGTTTTTCCAAGACAGCATCTGTTTACTGGAGGCCTGAGGGAGCAGATGCAAGTCACATGTACCTTCAGTATTTTGTAAACTGTCACGGAATCTAAATGTTATCTTTATTGATATGAGCAACACAAATCAAACGACCCTTGTTGTGATTCAAAGTTGAAGGGTTAAGGAAAATATATATATATATATATATCACGGGTTGCCAGCAATGGTGGGAATTGGGATCCTGATACTGCGGCCAAGCAGACAAGGGCCAAAACTTACAGCAAGCAGGATACATTTCAGATTTATGGTTTCCATTATCGGACAGAAACAATAATACCATTGAGCCTGACCAGCAGGCACGTGGGACAGAGTATCAAAGGAGCGCCAGCATACCCACATCAGATTAAGGGTAATAAAGTAATAAACTCAAGAGACAGGCACACAAGACATAAAAGAAAGACAGACAAAAATTAAATAATCAGAAAGACACAGACAGAATAGAAAACCTAAAGAGATGCAGAAAGACAGAACTGGACAGAGACAAACTAATGACACAATAATCTCCAGCTCACCTTGTATACTTTCACTAAAATGAGAGAAGATAGGGGATCTAGTGTTGGACTCTATCCTTTTAATTTGGCGAGAGGTAGCCACAAACACCTGCTGGATGAAGCAGTACACGCACATGATGGGTACGACAAACACGGAAACAATGGGTGTGGCTGCCACAATCACTATCATCGTCATCACCACCTGTAGTACAAATCCCGAGATTATTTACTATACAGTACACATTTTCTGCTGACCTTATCAGTCTAAACAGCCACAGTAAACTCCTAGTTTTACAACCATAATCCAAAGCCTAATGTAAAAACCATAATTATGCGAGATGTTGGGCTCCCATCACTATATGGGATGTTGATACCCCTTGTAGAAGTGGAGTGGTAAAATTAGTTAATGTAGAACAATCTTGCATATTGTTAAAAAGTATTATGAAAAGTCAGCTCGGGAATATATCCTATTTTTCCAAATGTAGTTGGAATATAAAACTGGGAGTATACTGTACTGTATATCAATAGTTCTTTGCCAGATAAGGCCTACCCCCACTACAGCTTCCACAAAGACCAAATTAGATGAAATGGCTGTCAAAATAAATAGTGTAATGACTCCTCCAAGGTGCATTTGATACGTCTGAAAGACACACTAAACCCATTACAAGCTAAATCCAAATGAATATGATCAGACTAGATCAGCAATATAAACCTCTTCTACAGCACTTCTGCAAACCCATAAAAATGGTAAAACATATTAATTAATAAATCCAAACCAAAATCACATCAACTTACTTACCTACATAACTTCCCTTCCCTTAAAATGTACATCACTACCAATAACAACATACTGTAGACAGGATGGAGGCCAAACCCCGTAGTGTTTGTGGCAGGATGTAATCTAGCACATTGATCTCCTTGCTGAAGCGGTTGATTATGCGTCCACTTGGGTTGGTGTCGAAGAAGCTCATGGGAAGACGAATGATGTTACGTAGCAAATGGTGGTGGAGAATATTGGCTGCTCGCAGTCCACCCAGCATCACCATCAACAGACCCACAAACAAGAAGATGGCTGTTGGCAGATCAAAATTGGTCTCATTGCAGGGGACAGTTAATACACGTATACAGTATACAGCAGACCTTCAGAAATGGCTTTATCTCTTTGTGTAATTTTGAAAAATCCAGACTAATTGAAGCTAGTGTCCTATTTATTAACAAATATTTAGGTTTTTTTCTTACTCTATATGATAAACATTTTGTTGTAAAATTCATCAACAGTATAATCCATGTCATATGCTGGTGGAGATAAGTCAATGTCTCAAGTTCTGATGAGTGTCAAGTTATGTCAGCTTACATCTTTATTGATACATATCATTTTTGGTAAAGATCTTTTTAATAAAATTAAAAGCAGGAATTTACATATAGGTTCACATAATTTTATTATTATTATGATTGAGTTTTTAATGCTATATATGAGGAATACATCTGCATGACACCAGTGAATGGTAACCCAGAAAAATCAGTTAATGGATTAATACATCAAAAAGAAAATAATTATGTAAAAATGAAACAGTGTGTGTGTGAATATATGGTTGTAACAAAGTGTACCACATGTTCAAAAAGTACTGAATTATACAAGAATACCGATACATTATAAATAGAGTACATGTATATATATCGTAGGCCTACAAAACACTATCCTTCTTAGCTTGTAATAAACTCTGTGCTAGTGTTTGTGAATTGTGTGCTCATAAAGCAAGTTAAACACATACTATAGTGAAAACAAGTGATAAACAATCAAAGAAACATGCAAGGTGACTACTGGAGTCATCTCTCTCATACAGCAGTGTTAGCTGAGCTAGCATCGGGTGTCAACAGATGTCGGTCCAGATCCCCAACACTCAACCTTTCACAACTCGTTCAACCAGTAAAGAGGTACTGTACATATAAATATTTCTGTTTTTCTTACATTTTGCATACAAATTAACAATGCTAAGAGGACAAAATATTTGTTCATTTTCCCCCTCCCCCACATAGGCAGGTATGGCCATATTCCAATAGCTGCACATTGTGAATGCTTTTTAACCATCAAAGCTTAACAGTTTCAAGTAAACAATGTCACAAAGTACTGAGAAGATGATTCTGCATACAAGAAAGAATACCTTGACCAACGCCGAATGCACCATAACCAGCAAGGAAAATGTCTCGATCAAATTGTGCAATATCTTCAGTAGTGTTGGAGGTGATGGTTGTGTTGGCTTTAGAAGTGCTGGTCCACTGAGACAACCACACACTGCCACCTGCATTGCTCGCCTGTGATGGTGGTTAGTATTCCATTAACCAGTGGTTAGTATATTTTACTCTGCATTCTCTAACTTGCACTATGATTTCTGGCAAGAATTCATAGTGGTCTAAATAACAATACAGTAATAACAACAATATTGTAGTAAAAATAAATAATTTATAATAAAAACAATAATAATATAAAGAAATGACAATGCATGATATATCAAGCAAGTATGTGGGAGTCACTAGAACACTGGTTAAAATCCCTGCATTGTTTCAAATAATTTTCTAATTAATAATAATAATATAGAAAAAAATCAGATGGAGCTCTGAGGCGACTCGAACCCCACGATCGAGATAATCTCAGCCGTTGATGCTAATCACTGGACCACCCCCAGCGTTTAGTGTCAGTGGCTGGGCTTCTCTTGGTCACGATTTAGCTTTATTTTTTTCTGGACCATAAAATTAAACATACAAAAAGTGAACTTTTTGTTGGTCCATCACTTTATACCGGTACTTTTGACTAAATAGCTACTACAAGTAATGTCATATCAGGAGGATGGGCTGAAATGAGGACAAAAGTCAAATTATGGAGGAAGAGAGAAGGAAATTCTGTGGGTGAAGTTACACCAAGTATCCCAAGTTACACCCCAGGTACACCAAGTACCTGGAGTATGTGATTTACAGACTAAGAATTTGTGCAAGTGGAGCTGTGAGTAGGATAATGGTCAAGAATTATTGTATGAAAGAGAGGTACTGTAGTACCTAACCTTTTGTACAGATGTGAGTGACTGGTATGGTATGAACAGTAGAAATGGATGATCTGAGAAGCATGCATGGTGTTTAGAGAAATAATAAAGTAAGACATAAAAATTGCATTAGAAGATGTAGCGTGCAGTAAATATTAAGAATGAAAAGAGTATACCAAGATGGTTTTGTCATGCTGAATGAATGGATGATAATAGATGGCTAAGGACATCATATTTGAGAGTAGGAGGAGAGGAAAACAACTAATATAATTAGATGTAGTGAGTGCATATGAGGAAGTGGGGGTTGAGTGCAAACTGCACAAAATATGGGTAGGCAGCAGCTTGTGATAGGGAGTGAATGTTTAACATGCTCGTACAGTATAAAGCAATTCAGTTCAAACATTAAACTAAGTCTTATGAAGTGGTAGGGTGTTAGTGTGGATGATTATGCAAGATGTATGGAGAATATAGGAGCCATGTTCAAACATCATAAAAGGATAAAACACATGACAATGTTTCACATTTGATTTTCTTCATTTTACTAAAAGATGTCAATAGCAACAATAATGTAAAATCCTCTTTGAACATATGTAAATATGCTAAAAAAAAAAATGCTGCTTATGGCTTGTGCCATCTCCTTTGCCATGATAACAAAAATGTGAAATATAATTAAAAATTCATGGAGTGGCATAGTTCTTACCTGTGCCAGAGTCATGAAGATGATGGGTATAACTATACAGAATGCACCCATAGCTCGGCCATATACCAGGAAGACTTGTCTGGAGATCTGTACAAAAAGTTTTTAAGAAGACATAGTCGAGCCACATTAGGGTGGTGTAGGAGGTATCTGTGAAGTCATGTGCCAGCACATCACACATTACAAGCAATATAGTACTGTATAGTAAACCCCCGTACAGTGTTAGGGATACCGTATGGCAAAATCTTTTACGGTACAATAAAAAATAATAGGGTGTATGTAAAATGCAAGAAAATCTCTATGGGATGTGTCATAATGCAAAAATATAATCCAAGAAATGTGTAAATCACAAAACAAAAAAGGCACCACCTCATGCTATGTGACTCATGCTCTCACAGGGCAATTTTTGACTGTAAAGGACATGATTGAATGACATGAAATTAATTTGCTACGAGTCAAGCTGTGATACAAAATATTCATAAAAAATACATGTTCTCTCTCTTTCTCCCCTCACAACCCAACCTTTCATTTTTCCTCTGTCTCCATCATTTACCCACATTTTCTACTTCTCTCCTCTTAACACTGATGAATGCAGTTGCCACATGCACAGTAGACATACCATATAGAAAACTGTAGAGAATAAGGACATGTGCCTGTACTCTGCAGTAATCTTAACATTTTCAGTGCCTGATGCTGTATATTCCGTCACAGAACCAAAATACGGAGTACTGTATGCGGGATGAAGCAAATAGGCATCAATAATTTAACAATTTGTAGAAATTCCATTTTTTGTCCAAATACTATGGGACTTTTTTTTAAAATGCATGCCAATTTCTGTCCATTCTCTGTATAACCCACATGGCATCCTGACCCTGCCGTGTGGGCGCCCACCCACACTGGAGGCTCACTGTTCTCGTTACCTTGTTCGTGACAGCCATGGCCTTCCCTCGAGTCAAAATATTTCCCCATTCTGGTTATTTTATCTCAGGGATTTGTTATTACTGGCTTTATAAACACTGCAAATTGACTTCCAGATGGATACTGATCAAGAACAGAGCCAACCCATGATGAAAGCATTGAAAGAAATACGTACAAGGGAAAGGTTATGGGGTGGGGTTTTCATCGAAAGCATAGAAAAGCAGGACTTGTATGTTCTTATATGCAAATATCCCTCCTCGGCATTCTATTACGAACAATTTGAAACCAAAATGAATGACGTAGCATGAAAATTTAGATCAGAAAGCTTAAAAAAATTTCATTAACACCCCACAATGTAAAGTTGCTGATGATTTACATAACTTTTGAAATATTAATACTGTACAGCTGAGGCTATAGACACCCCACCCAAAAAATTACAGATAAATGTGTATACTATAATATTCTAAATTATGTCACATTTGTCAGAATTTGCTCAGAATTTTACTTAATATTAAGGACTTCATATATTTGGATTATTATTATGCTACTTGTACTTAGATACAGAAAGATCAAACATAATGTCAAGGTAGATGTATTATTACTCTAATGAAGTTTACCCTCAACCTAATATTTCTCTAAAAGTTTTGGCAGACAATATATGAACATAAATATGGATGTAAAATTAGATTAACAATAATCTGAAATCTTAAGTTCACTTGGTAATAAATATAAAAATAATTGACGTAAATAAGCAAAACTTACTTTGCCTGTCTCAGCAGTTTCTTCATCAACTAGAATTTGGCCTCTTTTGATAGAAGAGTTACAATCAACAAAATTGTATGCCGGAAGATCCACAGCTACTGAAGATGTTGATCTGCTTATTGTCGAAGTCATGCTACTGTCATTAGAAACATTGTCAAACTGCTGAGATGAGCACGATATGTTACGAAGAAATATTGGCAAGTCATTGTTATTAGTAGCAATGTTATTGTGGTTGTTGCATATCTGGCTGTGCTTGGTAAATATGTTGCAGCTATTTTCTGTGTGTGTGGTAGGACTCGAGGCAATTTTTTGGCTTTTATCTGTCTCACTGACAGTCCGATGTCTTCGTCCATTTTCAAGTTCCCTGAAAGCATAAACTAAATTTTTACATCTCTCCTGAAAAAGTCTGCTGCAATTCTTTCCCATGAATATAATGAACAGCCCAGTGAACATAATTTTCATACATGAAAGTGTAGAGACAGAGAGGTCGCTAGCTTGCAGCTCACCTGGTAATGTTTAAGGAGCTCCTCCTGAGGGACACCTGCTTGATGAGTTGCTTCCCTCCTGAAACCTCTTCAAGTTGATCACACAGCTCCTCCAGCTCTGAGGTGAATTCATTCAGTTTAGACCATTAAACACTTTGCATTTTATGATTTAAAATAGCAGTAGATGCAGAACATAAGGACTCATGGCAGAAATAACTACTAATTCGATGATTCATTACAATTAATTTGTAACTTTTAGTTCTGCTAGAGGTTTTGCTTATAGTGCTTATACCATTATTATAATCTTCGACAGGATTTTTATCCATTTCTCTCATATACACAAATAACAAATACTATGATGCTGCTTCCTGACTGCCCAGAGATTTTCAATGAGCACCTTAAAAATAAAAAGATAACAAATTCATAATAATTATAAAGAATTTTGTTCAAATTAAAAAAAAAATAACTGGGCAAGTACAGGGTATAAATTTTAATACTGTGAGTGTGTATATTTTCAAGGAGTCATTTGTATGTAATTTTCAAGGGGTCATGTAAAATATTTGGCGAGATTGCCCTAGGGAGATGGGGGTAAAGGGGGAAAAAAATAAGGGTGAGGAGAGGGAAGAGCAGTAGAGGATTGGGAAAGGGTGGGAAAGGGAGGGATAGGGGAAGAGGAGGGGGGTAGAGGGGAAAAAGACATAACTAAATGGCTTCCAGAACCAAAAAAAAAAAAAAAAAAAAAGGTACTGCTGCCCTACAGACGATGAGTCGCAATAACGTGGCTGAAGATGTGATGACCAAACCACACATTAGAAAGTGAAGAAACAGCAATGTTTCAGTCCGTCCTGGACAATTATCAAGTCACGTGAACGATGAGGGAAAGGTACAGGCAAATAAATAAGGTAAGAGGAGCAGGCAAGATAAACAAGGTCAGAGGCGAGGAGCAGGTAAGATAAACAAGGTCAAAGGCGAGGAGCAGGCAAGATAAACAAGGTGAGAGGCGAAGAGCAGGTAAGATCACGATGAAAGGTAATAACAGGATGTAAAGTAATAATGACATGAAGGTAAGAATGGGATGAAGGTAAGAATAAGAGGAAAGGTAAGGAAAAGGATGGAGGGCTCTAGTCAGATCACATTTATTAAAAAGATTAGAGCATTTAAGGGTGTACTGTGAAAGGGAAGAGTCAATAGCAACAAAGCTAGGACTAAGGTTCACGTTAGGCATGCTGTGTATCGGAACCGATTCTACAAGATGGTATCTATGAAGAGAAGAGACAGGAAAAATGATTTTAGAAGACCGATCTATAGGATGATTAAGAGTCCCTAACATGACAGAAGAGGGCATTGTTTATGTCTGCAGACTTAACACTTCTTTTGTGTTCAGTGTACGGCCAGTTTCACAAAAGTATTAGAGAGGACAAGACGAACAGGAAATGGAGTAGACATCTGCAGCAATTGGAGCAGGAGCAGCAGTGTGTAACCAGATTATTACAAAGTGTTAATTAATTTGTTGAAAGGTAAGTTTTACATCAAGAAGACTAAGTGTTAGTGAGATTTTTGAGTTCAGATATGAAGGCACAGCACAATATTATTAGAGTTCAAAACAGGTTTGGGGATGAAAGAAATTTAGATTTGCTCGAGATTAGGCACAGTTTATAAAATGTAAGGGACATTGCAAGTACTGTCTCATCTCAAGTTGTCTGTATCTGTCTCTCATCTGAATCTCATCTGTCTCATCTAACGGACCCCATCTCCAACACACTGCTACACTAACCTTCCACTTCCTCATTATCCATGGAACTGAAGTGCTGGAGAATGAACTGAGCAAATTCTCCACCAGAGGCCACTAACTGAGTGTAGGCTCCTTTCTCCACCAGCCGCCCATCCCTCATCACCAACACTGTGTCTACTTGTGGCAGGAAGGTCAATGCATGTGTCACCAATACTCGTGTCTGTTGACAAGAGTAGTACCATTAAGGTTTTTTTTTATGAAATGAAACCAATCAAGCATTGGAGCAAATGAGGTGGCCCCCCCAAGAATTGAATATAATGAAACACTACTTTCTGGATGAGTCCCAGTGGCTCCCTGAAGCTAACTACCCAGAGTCCACTGGAGTGGACCGTCCTTCCACTGGATCTGCGAGACATTTGGTCGAGCTGAGGTGGACCTCTTCATGTTGGTGTGGAACCAATATCTTCCCTCCTATGTGGCTCTATTCCCAATTGTGAGGCTCTCACAGAGGATGCTGTTGACTGGCCTGGTCAAGGTGGAGGTTAACCTTTCTCCCCAAATTCAGTTGCTGCTTTGGGTTCTGTCCAATCTGGTGTTGTCTTCAGGGAGGGTGATCCTTGTTTTACAGTTCCCCTTCACCCCCTAATATCTTTCTTAAAAGCTATGTTTTTTAATGTTTAGCTATTGTTTTAAATGTTTTTAGCTATGTTATGTTTAAAGCCAAAGCCAGCTTTTCAAACCACCTGTGAGTCACTGGTTCTACCTCAGTGGACACCTTGTTAGTTGACGCTGTTTCATAGAACACCGTTTCCAAGGCTCATATTCATCAAGTCGTCTGCAGTGTCATCAAATCTAGCCATCCTGTGGTCTATGCTCAGGCTGATGATGCAAGCTTGATGCATTGGCTTCAGTCTTCATCTAAAAGTTAAGAGCTGATATCTAGGCTCAGGGATTTTGGCACTAACAGGGTTCTGGCAGCTCAGTGTTTGGTTAATATTCTTGGTGCCAGCAGGTCGTGTGTTGCTTTGGGCTGTCTCTCACAGCCTCGATTCTCTTTGTCCTAACACATGCCATCTCTCCTCCTCCCTAGTAAATTCCATTTTAGTTCTGTGGTTAGCTAGCTACATGGAACCACTGGGGGCTTCCCTACAAAACCTAGTATTCAATGTAATGAAACTTTTCTTCCTGGATGAGCCACAATTGTTCCCCGACTCCCTCCCTACTAGGAGGGAGAGTCAGTCGGTTCATTGGTAGGCTGTTTATCAGCATGCAGAAGTTGGGCTGCCTGGTAGTGGCACTTGGTACTAAGAGTTTCGAACTAATTTTGAATGTTTCTCTTGTTCTGTGTGAATCACTTGTAGAGCTGTTTGAACTTTCTGAGGCATTCAGTCTTGTTAACCCTCCAGTTGTCTAAAGCCTTGCTGACTTTCTGGATGCTTTTCCCAGTGTGGTGGTAAATTGTCACTCACTCTGTGCCTCTGCGAGAGGGCCAGGTTGTCTCTGGTCCGCAGTAGGCTGAACAGAACTCACATCTGATGCAAGTTATTTGCATGGATCAATCTCAGTGAGATAGCTTCAGGGAGCCACTGGGTTCATACAGAAAGAGGCATTTCATTACATCCAATTCTGGGTTTATCGTAAAAAAAATTAGCCATTTAAATTAATTCAGACAGGTAATTTATATAAAATATAGAAAAACAAAGTGGTGAATTAAACAAAGTTTAATTTTTAACCTTCATTTAACCCATTCTTGAACTTTGAATAGTCCCAATTACTCTTTACAAAAACTAAGTTACATCTGTAAGTGAGGCTAAAGGCTAAAGTAGTGATATTACCTTATGCTTCAGCACCCCGTGAGGACCTATGACATGGTCGAAGATGTGCCTGCCCACATGAGAGTCAACAGCACTGAGCGGGTCATCAAGGAGGATGATACTGGCATCACTATACACCGCCCTTGCTAAAGCCACCCGCTGCTTCTGGCCACCACTAACATTGATTCCCTGAGGGAAGAGGAGATAATTGATAAGTCTTAAGTCTGTAAGTCTTAAGCAGCTTAAAAATTTTGGCAACTCACTAAGTACTAAAGTCAAATGAAACTATTAAAATTTCTGGAACTAAAGCATGCCATGCTATGTCACATCTGAAAAAAAATTAATATTATTGCAAAACATTAGTTAAAACTCCCCTTTTACTTTTTGGAAAGCGAGTGTGACATTTAAATTTGTCCACCATTTTTTTGATTAGCCAACCACCTATGTGACTTGTTTATGCCTCCACTGAGGAAGGCACTCAGAAAGTCAACAAGATAAAAACCATTGATGGTTTTAAGCAAGACTTCATCCTCAAGAAACAGCTATAGAACTCCCCTACAATGTAAATAAACTATTGAAAGTTTACGAAACTAGTGCCAGCTCATTTGCCTCACCACCTCCTGCCCACATTGGGGGTAGGAGGGAGACAGGTCACGGTCAGCCAGCAGTCCCAACGGCAGGATGACGAATGATGCAATACCCCTGATGGCCTGGCATTTGAGGGTTATCTGCCAAATTATGTTTCGAGTCTTGAGAGCTCAGCAGTTGTCTGTAAAGCTTTGTTGACTTTCTGGATGCTTTACCAGTGAAATGGCAGAATATTATTTGCTCTCTATGCTTCATGTGAGGGGAGGCAAAGTTTTGGCTCAAGTCCCCAATAGACCTAATGAACTCATGTGACTGGTAGATTGGAGTTACAGGCAGCCACCATGGGGAATCCCCATAAAAGCATTAACTTTAAGCTACTGTAAATATGAAAATATGGTGTGAAAAATGTATCAATGCATAAACAACAGCAGATATACTGTAATGTATATAAATTACTAAACACAAACTGAAGTTCGTAGTTAGAAATGACGAAATGCTACAATGCATCAGTATTTAAAATTAATTATATTTATTAAAAACAGTTAAAACCTTTTATTCTGTTCACCTTTGACATTAATCATTGACAAGATGACAGGTGTTATATGAGACACATTTAATGACTATATAACATTAATTTTAACATGTGAAGAACTGCTGATCTCAAAAGATGCTAATAGAGAATTATTGTATTGAATTCCCACAGAGGTTGGAAGATGGCAAAATGACAAACTAGAAAAAAAACATGAGACAGCACAGGAAGGTGAGCTGAAAAGAGGGAAGAGCAGACACATCAAAAAGAGAAAAGCAGATGCCGAGAACCAAGAGTGGCGCACATTCTCACCTTCTCTCCAATCTCCGTCATGTCTCCAGCTGGCAGCATATCAATATCGGCCTGCAGGGCACATGCCTTCACCACCTGTTTGTATCGCTTCAGTTCAAAGGGCTGACCCCAGGTGATGTTGTCTCTCAGAGTTGCATTCTGTAGCCATGCTTGCTGTGACACATATGCTACACTTCCCTGCAGGTAGGATAGGTGTTAGCAGGTGGGTGGAATAAATCTTAGCAAATGGGTGGAATGGATGTTTGCAGGTGGGTGTGAAGTTGGTGTTAACAGGTGTGCAAGATCGGTGTTAGCAGTTGAATGGGAAAGTGTTAGCAGACGAGTTGGATAGGTATTAGCAGGTGGCGAATGAAGCAAGTGTCAGCAGATGGTGAATGGGACTAGTGTTAGTTGGCAGCAAGTGGGTGGAACAGTAGCAATAGCAAATGATAATGGGCTGGACAAGTATTAACAGGTGACAGGAGTTTGGTATAGGATAGGTATGGTATTAACAGGTGATGGAGTATATATATATACAGTATATATATAACATATTAGTTGGTTGTGGGTGGAACAGGTGTTAGTAGGTTGTGTTGGGGGACAAAATGTTGTCAATAAGACATGTACTAGCACATGGCTGTTAAACAGGTTAGGTTATGCATAGAGGAGAATGCATGTGTTTGCATTCTAAATATTAAAATAATGAAAAATTAATACAACAAACAAAAAATGTGATACACAAAATTATATAAAAATAATAGTATAAAATCAGGCTGTAAGTAAATTAAAAATAACTCCGGAAGTCACTCAATTGCTCCCTTAGATAAAGACTCTCCTGACTCCAGGAAAGACCTTTGCTTAGTTAGGCACACTGACAGTCTGAATCAGCATATAAAGAAGCTTTTCATACTGCCTGAACTGGGTTATACTGATGCAAGCAGGACATCACAAATTTGTCAAACCAGTCCAGATATAACTATCAGAAGCACATTTCCCCAGAACTTCTGAGTGTTTTGTAATGGCACATAAACTTGCAAATAAGAGAGAGTGAATGTGTGTGCAGTGTTATAACTTCAAAAATTGTTTTACAATTAACTGTAAATAAATCATTTTGGAGTGCATATTAGTGACATGAATATATTTTGGTGTATCAGTATTCTGCACGTTTTAGGACAGCTGCAATCGACACCCCTAGTGCATAATGTAAGTGAAAAAGTGAAAAACATGTCAGCAACAGTGAAATATAAACAAAAATAATTATTCGCAGCAACTCCAGCCACTTGAATGTCTCACGTGACCTACCCCGAGCACGCACTCCAGGAAAGATCGTGAATTGGTGACGTCACTGCGAAATTTCATCGCTCCATCACAGGTAAAGTAACTATGCATTTTATTTTTTTATCATGGAAGACATTTCAATAATATTAGAACAAATTCTGAATTTTGTTTTTCTTGTGCACAGAGAGTTTGTTAGGATTACAAAAGAGAATTCCCTAATGGATACAGGTACTAGTAATACCTGTATCAAAGAAGTGTTTTGACATTAGTGATTTGTGGATACATGGCAAGGTGTCTTCCTAGGAGCAGTAGGATATGACATGGCAGTTTGTGAATATTCCTGCTGCATCCATGTCAAATGTCCACATGTCTTGCCTAAGCATAGACTGGTCATGGGCCAATGGAGGTTCCTTGTCTTTAAGAGCAACCAAGTAGCATAACTCAAATTATAACAATAATAATGTAGTCAATCATAATAAATGGGGAAGTAAATTGTGTAAAAAAAAAAATAAATGAATTTACCAAATAAACAGGAATATACATACAGTACTGAATTGTATAAGTATGAAAATATTTTAGTAAATCAATCAATAACTATAATTATTTAATAGCTTCCCCAACTATATAATTTCCATATTTACATTGACGATGACTTTCCCAGCATCCTTTCTCATTTCACCTAACAGAGCAGAGATGAGGGAGCTCTTGCCTGCTCCAACAGGCCCCACCACTGCTACCAACTGCCCCTTCTTCACCTCCAGCTCCACCTGTTGGAGAGACCAGTTGGCCTTCCCTTCCTCTCCTTCCCAGCTGAACTGCCCACCACGCACCACCACCAAGCCACCTGAGGCGAAGAGGGGCACATAGTCATGTATTGCACTCATAAAAAGTGATCAGTGACAAGGCAAGGGAAGATTATTCAACCAAGACTTCCTTTACCATTGCCTTGTACTACAAAAAATCTATGGTCAAATACTAACATATGAACTGACTTGCTAGTCAGTATTGCTGTGAATTTTTCCTTTCATTTTTGGGAACATTTCCTTTCATCTAATGCCTCTGTTCACCTAGCAGTAAATAGGTACCCGAGAGTTAGTCGGCTGTTGTGGAGTTGAATCCTAGTGAAGGACAGTAGTTACACCTTAGGGGGAGGAGGAGGGATCTCAATATAAGCCTAAAGTCTATATGTACACAGGATGCCTGTGCCCAGCAAAATTATTATTAATTATTACTATATCAGAGGTGTAAACAAAAATGTAAAACTATTTTTTGTGAAGAGAATGGTGGAAGACTGGAGCAGGCTCCAGGATGTTGGAATATGTACCAAAACTACTTGTGTAAACATTAGATAAGATTAAAGTAGTTACTCAATTGGTACAGTATTTGTATTTTCTTATGAAGTCACTAATTATGAGCAGTATTTTGGACATACCTTAAGATTATGAGTGAATAAATTTGTACATTTTTAGAGTAATCATTCCTTGTAATTAGGTAATTACACACACTTACAGGTTGAAGGTTCAGAGCAAACCGCTTCAGGATCCAACTCTCCCATGTTCAAGAACTTCTGCATCCTAGTCTTGGACACACCTGCCTGTGGGGCAGGAATGTATAAGATTTGGATGGGAACACATTAGTGGTATACATGGAGGGTACACCTTGTATGCACTGCAGTTCAGTATATATAAAGACCTTGATAAAACAGATGACAAAAGAATAGAACTCTAGATGGAATTTGAAAACAATTTGGTTCCCAAGAAACCTTCGTAATCCGTATGTACAGTATGTCTAAATGATCAATAAGACCTCAATTCACCAGACACTCGCTGTAGCCATACTCACAAACATTGCCCTCCCAGTCAAATAGAACACGTTGAGTCGTGAAACCCCAGGCATGGAGACTATTGGCGAGATATGGATACTTTGTAAAATAGTAAGTAATGTAGTGTTATCAGAGCTGAATAAGTTACAGATCATAGCATTGGATTTTATATAGTCTGAAGTTAATCTCTCTAGTTTCCAGTGGTGGTTTAATAATGCTTGTTAGAAGAAATATAGAGTAGTGGTCTGTAGTCCTCTCAGGTAAGGTTTCCTATAATGAGGTTGTTTCTTCAGATTTCTCCCTTCAAACCTTCTGAATCTCTCACCAGTACTTCTAAACCCCTTTTCTCAACCCTACCTGCATTCCCAAAGTTTACCCTGGATTGGATTACCATCCAGATTTCTCTGGTTAATTACAGGTATCATTCCTGGATGATTGCTTTTTAAAATTGTTGAAATTCCTTAAGCTGTTTTAACATGTAACAGAAACGGAAACATATGTACCTGAATGAGCTGGGAGATTACATTGGGCATCTGTATGATGGGCAGACGCAACAGGTTGAGGAGAGCAATAGAGACGAAGGCCTTCTGGGAATCCAGCACATTGTCATCAGACACTAGCAGATACGTGGTGAATGTGGCAAGAGCTACCTAAAGGAGGAAGACATTATAGCATACGATTAGCAGTCAGCGTTAAGATTAGCACCATAAAAATGAATACAAGTGAGGAAAATTTTGTGAAGAAATTATAATTTTCAGCTATAAGAAAAGATACCAAAGCATGAAGTGGGTGGGAGAGCACTTTGGTTTAGCATGTCACTGAGGTGAACAAAGTTATCATTCTCATTTTGGCTAAGAAGGCTGTCTTTATTGTTTTGTGGCTAAGAAGGCAGTTTTCATTGTCAAAAAGCATGTCTTCATTGTGTTGTGGTTAACCAGTGTCCTTTGAAACTAGATTTCTGGCAATAACATCTTACTCTCTCACCTATACATATGAAACAATCTATACTTGCCATATATGGGGTGACACTGAAGATGAAAGAGTTGAAGGTCTGCAATATAGCGAGCTTCTTAAGCAACGAGACCTCCTTATTCCTCACCTCCTCAGCCTTTTCAGCAAATGAGGCCTCCCACGCATACAGCTTCAGTACCTGCACAAGAAACACAGAGTTGAAAGAATCGTTTTCTGTCATCCTCTCTCTCTCTCTATTTTCTAAACTGGGACAAAGTTTCTTGCTTTTTCTGTTCTATATTTTAAGTTTATATCACTGCAATCATTAAAACCTATAAAGAAATCATATCCCAAAAAATACTAATTAATGTATGTCCACTAATTTAAAATAGAGTATTTCCCTAGGATTTTATTATATAAATAAACAACTGCTTTGTATGTGACCTACTCTATACATAAGCATTTGATTTGTCATAAGACAAAAACATGACAAAAATGGCAAAAATTCTTCTCATATCATGGATCTTTGCAAAAAAGTAATCATCCTAAATACCCCTATACTGTTTATGCATAAAGTTGAAACTTCCTCCACAATAACTTTTTTAAATACAGTAAAAAGTATCATTACTATCGTATTAGTTTTGAAGGATTCAAATCGTTCTTATGGATTTCCTGCCTCAATTCATCTAGGCTTCAAGCTTTAATATCATGAAACCACCATCTCTACTAGCCTGAATGAGGGCAGGAAGCCAGTGGATTGTCAAAAGTCTCCCATTTATCCTAAGGATTTTATCCCACTAGATTTTGACCTGCAGAAATGTTTTGCCATTTACAGCTTCGGTAGGTAGGTGGTTCCATGAACTTATAACCCTATGGGCGAAAAATATCTCCTGTAATCCTATGCATGAAAAAGTAGCTCCTGTTTTCTGTCCTATATTTTGGCTTGTTAGCTTAATGCCGTTGCTCCTTGTATGTGTTACATTTGACTTTTAACAAAGTGGTCTGGATTAATACCTCTAAATTGTTCAGTATTTTACAAATTTCAATATCTGCTTTGCAGTGTTGCTAGTCCTGTGGCCCTCAACAGTTTCTGGTATGAGAGTCTGCTTAGTTTTAGAATTATTTTTGTCACCCGGTGTTGAACTTTCCCCAAAGCAGATATGGCTTTCTGAAGATGAGGTCTTCATGCATAGACACAGTAGTCTAATTGGGGACCTACCGGAGATTTCCACAGTTGAATAACTATTTTCTTATTTTTGAAATCAAAGGTTCATTTGACTATTCCCAGGATTTGGTTGACATTCTTTTTACTGCAGCTCCCATTTATCAGTACAGAACCAGTACAGTTGTATATCCATTTAGATTTAAAAGAAATATCTTCCATCTTACCTTGATACCATTGATGATCTCACGGGCCATCTTACCTTGATACCATTAATGATCTCACTGGCCATCTTGACTCTCTTGTCTTTGAAAGTCATAGCTTTTGCCTGCAATTCCTTTGACCTCTGGACGATCACACTGTTAATGGGGATGATAAGCAGCAGCACGACCAGACCTGCTAGAACTGACGGACCTGTCACACCAACATATAATGATTAGGAACCTTCTGTTTATGCACATTATTCTCACTGTCCCAGTACTTGTCAATCTGGTTTTCATTCTGTGCCTCTCTTTCAGGGTCTTCTTTGGTCTGTGTAGCTTGTACCTGTACATCATGTCCAAGTGAAAATGGAAAAAATAAAAAGGAGGAATAGGCTATCAATATCCACATTAATTAAACAAAAATTTTGATTAAATTAAAAAAATTGATGAATATCATCTTTGATAGCATATCTCATGTTACATTAATAATATAAATGGCTCTTCTCTTTTGTTATGAACAATATTAGAAAACATTAGCCAATGTCACCTTAGCCAATGACTGGCCATACATCCCCCCCAGGAAGCAACCTACAACAGTTGACCAACTCCCAAGTACCCATTTATTGGCAAATGAACAGAAACAGAAATCTTTTAGGGGACTGATGTGGAACATTCAGACTATCACAAGTCGAGCCTGGCCTCAGGCCAGGTTCAGGGAGTACAAGAACTCCCAGAACCCTCTCCAGGTATGCTCCAGGTATCAGGGGCTAGATTCACAAAGAAGTTATGCAAACACTTACGAACCTGAACATCTTTTCTCAATCATTGGCGGCTTTGTTTACAATTATTAAACAGTTAATGAGCTCCGAAGCACCAGGAGGCTGTTTATAACAATAACAACAGTTGATTGGCTAGTTTTCATGCTTGTAAACTGTTTAATAAGTGTAACCAAATCTATCAAAGATTGAGGAAAGATGTACACGTTCATGAGTACTTGCGTAACTGCTTCGTAAATCTGGCCCCAGGCCATTGCTCTATCAGCTAGACCTGGAGCTCTTTTTTTTTTTTTTTCTCTTCCAAGTTTGAAACAAAGATTATTCAGGATAGTGCAAGATAAGGTTTCACGTCTCTTTTTCTGCAGCTTTGACAGCTAAGGAAATTTTTTTTAACCCTCAAAACGAGTGGCAAGCATCAAAATTGTCACCTTGCCTATACACCAATAATAATAATAAAATACTGTAAAAATAATAATAAAATAAATAAGTAATAATAATAACTAATTTTAATAATTTGTTCTTATAGAATTATACATTTTTGGAGCTATTTAATTACATCATACATATTCAAAGCATCCATGTTATTTCATTCTTCATTACCGGCTGCAGTCCTCTTTACGTATACAGTAATGTTATGCCTAATGCTCTTGTCTTCACTTTTCTGAATGGAATGTGGTATCCTGGGAGATGGATCTCCCTTTCTATTACCTCTTGTTCCTATTTTTCACTGATATCAATTATGTCAGGACTCTCAACCTCAATATATGTGAACAATGTCCGATTTATTCATTAAACTTTTGTAATTTGTGTAGATACATTTTAAACTTGTGATGTTTCTATGGAGCTGAGAGATTGGGCTTTCTATAATGACTGGCATTTTATATGCAGTAATTTAAATACTTTAAAATATTTCAATTTTAATGATCGTCACTGTATTGCGAATTATATGTAATCCTCTTTTGAGCTATGTATGGGAAGTGTATGTAATTACTTAAGTGTAATTATCTAAGTGCAGTCACAGGATGGGAGCCTGTAACTGCACAGTATATATAGTTGAGTCTCTCCACTCTGAGGAACAAAGAGATCAGCGGTGTATAATCTGTGCTACATAAGAGCCCAAAGTAGTCTGTTTTGCCATAAATCATAAGTGATAATTGATTAACTATACTGTTTTGATCCATTTCTTATGTTTGCTATACTATAAATGAAATTGCTTGTTTAAAATTTGTTTCAAATCATTTCACAGATTAACTGAAAATATATTCTTCTACTTGTGCATATTATTATGTATATTTAACCCATTTAATAGTGCATTGTAGGTACAGTATTAGTGTTTTTATTTGTCTCTTCGATTAGAAGATTAGTGCAGATGAGGAGTTAAAATAACGTGGATGAAATATGTTGACCAAACCACACACTAGAAAGTGAAGGGACGACGACGTTTCGGTCCGTCTTGGACCATTCTCAAGTCTATTGTGAATCGACTTGAGAATGGTCCAGGACGGATCGATATGTTGTCGTCCCTTCACTTTCTAGTATGTGGTTTGGTCTACAAGATTAATTATGATTAAATACCCTCTCTATATTATAATATACATTACTTTCCTCCCTTACCTTATATAAAGTTCTCCCTTTATATCACATTAAATGTCTTCCCTCATCCTCATATATTGCATTTTGCACGCTTATTATTCTGTTATAATGTTCTTTTGGTGTTCGTTCTGACTTGCAGTGTAAAGCACTTCATACTTTTTTCCTACTCCTGTATCTTGATCACCTGACCTCTCCGTATCTTTTGCTTTGAGTTTGAGTTTTGTAGTTACAGTAATTAAATCTTTTAGTACGACTCAATTACTTGTAACTTTCTTCTTGTTTAACCATGTGGTCTGGGAAAATGTAAATGCTGTTTTTCCCATCCAATTGTTCTACAGTATATATTTTTTTTTAGTGTGTCCCATCTATAAATGGGACACATTTATGTGATGTTATGTGATGGTTATGTGTATTAAATTTCCTCCGGTGTATCTTACATCTCTACCTAGAAAAATGTTTAGATCTATCTTGCATTTAAAATTTTCTTGCATTTCTTCAGTTATTTGTTTATTGAAGTTATCCACATCAATTCTAATGGAGCTTCAAATTAGTGATTACTAACCAAGTTTGGACCAGAGGAATCCAAGGGAGACAAGAACGGAGATAGGTGCCCCAAAGAGGCTGGAGAGATGAAGACATGTATCACCGATGGTTTGGGCATCCACTGCCATCAAGTTTACAATCTGACCCACTGTCGACTCTCTTCGGGCTGAACCAGATAGCTTAAGTGCCTGGAGAGAGGAAAATGATGATAGACAGTGGATAGACAGTGCAGTAGAGGCATGATTTGTTCATAGAGCATTTCCCCACCATCTCCCTTTTGATCCCACTAACAACAGTTGACTTATCACCGAGACAGATGCTTACCTTGACGTAGACAGTGCACATGAGTGCTGACCTAACCCTGACTGTGAGAATGGTAGCAATGTTGAAACACATGTTCCTAATGAGAGATGCAAGCTCGCAGGTGAAAAAGAGTGCCACTGCATACAAGTAACCATGCCATGCTGCCTCTTTCTGGTCAGTGACGAAGCCAATCAAGAGACTGTAAGAAGAGAAATAAACAGGGAATGTGAATGAAAATATTTTGAAAGCTTGGGAGAATGGGATTAGTGTTTTTTTTTTTTTTTTTTGCATTTTACAAGGAAAAGATATATACAGTACTGTCCATTATATTATTTGTGTTATTTATTTTTATTTGGTTTATCATCCCTACTACTGGCAGAAGTAAATGCTAAATTATTGCATGGGCAAACTGAACTGGAGCCCAGGAATCCTGAGGTTCAAAGGCTCACCACTAGCCAGTGACAAAAACTTTTTCATTGCTTACCACATAATTCAGTCAATAGTATAATAATCAACTGAATGCCATTCAGCTCAGTGCCATTTAATTAAGTATTTCCGGAACTGACAGGCAAGAGCTATGAGAAGTTAAGAGGCATTAAATATGCCAAAAGTAGAATATAGAAGGAAAAAGAGGCGATACGATCACTACCTACAAAATAGTAATGGGAATCGACAAAATTGATTAGAAAGAATTCTTGAGACCTGGAACGTCAAGAACTAGAGATAATAGATTTAGGTTAACTAAACAAATTTACCAGATATATAAGAAAATTCACTTATACAGAGTGATAGAGGATTGGAACAAGTTAGAAGGTTGTGGAGGCCAAAACTGTCAGTGGTTTCAAAGTGTTATACGACAGTGTGCTGGAGGGACACCATGAGCGTAGCTCTCATCTTGAAACTACAATTTGGTAATTACAGCATCTTCCTGTTTGAAAACCATACTGTCTTATTATATCATTTCTCTCCAGGTATTCTATCTGTCTTGTTTAAAACAAAATTGTAATGTTTGTGTAGAATATACAAAGTGTGGAGCAAATGCCAAAGGAATTAAATTGTATCACTTTCGTATAGTTTGTGGAGTGGAAATTTTAACTAGTATATTTTATGTCTAATCCAATTATTTAATTTTGGATTACCCCAAATGTATAGAAGATCAATAACTGTAGTGTTGTTTTTTGTGGTGTTCCCTAGTGTATGAAGAGGAATTATTGTTGAATTGTGTAAATCTGTTTTATGCTTGTTTTCGGTTTTAAATGTGATTAATAATTATAATTCCTACCTGGTATTCCTTCCAGTGGTTGCTTTAAAGAAATTAATGTACCCATAAAATTAATATCTGATCAATATATATGTTTATTTTATAAATTAAAAGAAATTTGTAATAATTCTCAATTCTTAAGTAAAATATCTTTAATAAACTAGGTTAACATAACATCTCTTCAAGAAGGTCTTTTTATAATTACCCCTTGGAGCTTTTCTATGTAAGGCTTGGAGTATATATGTTGACCCATTTTTTGGGTGAAAATAAGAAGGACAAGTCCCACACTCAATAGAGGTACATAGTATTTACTTAAGATTACTGTTATTGATTCTTGGATTTATTTGCTTTAATTTTTCAAAGCTCCATCTGAACATTTTTATGACATGGTATTTAAAATATGAATGTAAGTAAGCTTTCATTTCCCTTAAGTGGACACAGAACGTTGCTTTTCTTATGAAATATGTCTAGCAAGGGCTTGGTGTGGACTGAGTTAGGTGGAGGTTGGTGGTAAGCAAGCACGAAGGACCCACCAGAAAGAGGCATTTCATTACACTTAATGCAGGGTATCCTTTTACCAAGGAGAAAGTGTATATACTCACCTAAGGAGCTGGGGTGTGACAAAGTTAAATGCCACCGACACTATATTGAGGAACATTGACAGGAACAATGGCCACTTGGTCATATTCCAAAGCCCACGTAGTATTGACACCTGTGTGGCCTGGCATGACCCCATTATTGTTACACTTCTCTTGTTCTTTACAATGTAATTCGTAATGTCCATCTTGGGCTCTGTCTTCTCATAAGAGTTGCATGATCCTTCGCCTCTTCCTCCTCTGAAATTAAACAATGTACTGAAGTGGAAGCATTACCTTAGCTGAATATCTTACGCATTTTGATAAATAGATAACAAATAAGAACAGCATTTGTGGCCAATTTCAATTTTTCATATTCACAACCCCGAACGAGGCACGGCTTCCCTGCAGTGATAACGTAATCATGTAACAATTGCTGTTAGTAGCTCACAAGCCTACTAAAATATTGCAACCCAGATGATCAGACACCATCTGCAAGAACTTACATAAGTCCTTGAAAACTTTGGCCTTTGTTCTGGCAATATTTTTTGTATTTATTGGTAGGAGGTTGAAAAGGCAAAGGCCTCTAATGTTCACACAGTATTCAATACTTAAATTGTTCTATGAGGGCACTGATAATGGGAGGCAAGTGTTCAGATCAGGGACAATTGGGGAGTTAAATCTGGATGGGTATAGGGGGTGTTGGGTTGGATAGTGGGATGGTGGTACTCCCTAGTTGTAGATTCCTTTTACAATTTTAGTAATCATATTACTATATGATTATATAGTAATCATATGTAGTATATAATAATTATTATAATACCAATTGTTGTATTTAATATTTATCACTCTTCCTTCTTCTTGGTCTTGAAGGAGGCCGGCCTCTGGTGAAAGAGGGCTGTGACGATCTTTGTCTGCAACCCGTAGGTGCGGGACCGGGACGTCCACCTCCCGAGGGTCGTGCGACCCAGGCTCTGCTTCAGGAGGTTGGGCTCGTTCATACCCTTGATATGGTTCTTCTCTGGCCACGTCCACGGCGGTCTCTGGGGCTGGAGGTCCCTGTGCCTTTTTTCACTAACTTCGAGGTCAACCCTGGAACTCTCAGTTCCTGCGACGGCGCTGGAACCAATCGTATTGGCATATGCCTTTCCATTGGAGACTTTCAGCACCGTGGAGAGGGGGGACCTGCTGCCTGGATAACAGCTTCTCCCCCCGAAACAACCTACCCTGGCTTTGTGCCCTGGTGAGGCCACTCCAAACCTCTAATGTCGGCCAATCTAGACCAGGCCGACACCAGAGCACAACTCTAGTCTCCCGAGACTGATGGATGCATACTACTATATGTAGTAATCACATTGCCTCTTTTCCTTCTATTTTCTAGTTTTGGCATATTTAACACCTCTAGCCTCTCTTCGTAGCTCTTGTTTATGAGTTTCAAAAGCCATTTCATAGCAAGCCTTTGCACCTTTTCCAGTTTACTGATGTGCTGCTTGAGATATGGACACCATACAACTGCTGCATATTCAAATTTTGGTCTCAAGAGTGCAGGTGAAAATAATGAGAGAACTGCTTACAATGGGGGTTGGAAAAGCATCACATATGTTGATTAGTTGATAGGCAGAACCAGTAGTTGAAGCTTGATCCCCACAATGACAGCAATACACATCAACAGACGTGACGTGTATTGCTGGAAGGAAACCATGGTAATTAACACTACAGTATTGCGTAAGGAAACCAAGGTAATTAACACTACAATATGTAGCTTACATTGTATTAATTAGAGTTTTAATCCAATGTGAGCATTTTTTTTTAGCCTATGACAGGGTTTAATGGAGATAGTGTTAGGTCTACAATTTTACCTGTCTGTAGAGTGCAGCCAAGAGCGATAGACGCGTATTGCAGAGTTTTCAGATACCACATCCCACAAGTCCTGGAAGGTGAGTGGTTGCTGCCACCCAGCCCAAATAAGGGGACCAGACCAAAAGAAGAAGAGCCGACTTACAATTGAGGCATTCAACTCTGGACTGGGTTTCTGAAGCAAAGAAGAAATAAAATATATTACTGTATATAAATATTATATATATATTATATATATATATATATATATATATATATATATATATATATATATATATATATATATATATATATATATATATATATATATATATATATATATATATATATATATATATATATATATATATATATATATATATATATATATATATATATATATATATATATATATATATAAATTTTATACACACATGTCATTTTTTTAATATACATGTTAGCTAACTTCTTGTTTAGTACTGCCTACATCAAACCTTTAAACAATGTAACGTATTATTTTAAGTTATGCAGGAAAAAATGGTAGAATATTAGAATGGATAAAACATTGATTAAAACTAAGAAAGCAAAGGGTTGTCCTAAATGGAAGTAAATCTTCCTGGAGAAGGGCTACTGATGAGGGGTACTGATAGGTTTCATCTTGGGGCCAATCCTCTTTTTGCCATATAGCCTTACAAAGAAATCTATATGAACTCCAAATACTGTAATAGGAAGACTGGCAAATACGCTTGTTACAGTCCCACCAATTCAAAATAATTGTGCTGGTCATTGAGTGTTCCCTCTCCTGTTTGAAGTGTATCTTTAGAATTTACATGTGTTCTGTATTTCCAGTTTAACATACTGCACATGTACTGTAAATAAAGAAGTAGGGAAGGATCTGTTTATTTTCATTATTGCATATATTTTAATTTTACACCTCTCCCTCCCTCCCTCCTCACAGAGCAGCAGCTACAAGTTCAAAAAGTTAGAATGTCACAAAACAGAAGATGCTTTTTCACCCACAGTGCTATAAACCCATGGAACTGCCTACCTGCTGAAGCCATAACTTCCAAGACATTACTGCAGTTCAAAATCCAGTTGCAAAAAATTATCAAAGTATAGGGAGACCCCCCTGACAAGCCACCAGCTTCCTGTCCCCATTGAGGCCAATATATTGATGGTGTCCCCCAGGTAAAATTAACTAAATTATATTTTCAGCGTTCTTAATTTTTAAAAACTTACCTCTGTCATGGCCATCTTCTGAAGTTTGGATGGGGCATCACAAATGCAGTTGGTGATGAAAAGAACCATACTGCTGAGATACTGAACCATGAACGTAACTATCAATGTGGCCGGTACTTTGCGGTTCTGATGAATAAACAAGCCATTAAGTGCAATAGCTGAATTACAGTACTAATTAGGTACTGTGTGCAAGAGAAAAATATTCAGTGAAGGTTCCAATAATACAGTACTGAATCTATCATAATATTTTGTTTAAAGTATTTAATTTCAATAATGGCAATAGAGCTGTTGACAAATGCCAACACCAATTATCACGTGATTATGGTAATAGTGATGACAATACAGTAGTTGTAACTGTGATGGTAATGGTGGTGACAGTAGTGATAATTATGGTGGTTGTAGTAGTGCTGTTATAGCCGATGAGAATGATGATAAAGCCGACATCTCATTATAGTGATGACGATAATGGTGACCTACCCCATGCAAGACGGAACTAATTGTGGTGTAGAGTTGGGGTAGTCCACACAGCACCATCAATAACCAAAACAGCCACAGAACAATGCTATTCCGCTCACTGCGCCTCCTCCCCACTAACACAAGTGTTAGATGAATTACCTTGGGTAAAAGATTTAGTAGAGAACACGAGTGTATAAAGATGTTTTGAGAAGAGATATATTACAGACATAAAATTTTTGTTTGTCACCTTAACCTTTAAAGTTTGGCTATAGTCATATGTTGATCCCTGGGGTAATGCAATTATCATCATATGTTGATTTTGGGTGCTGCAATTGGGTGCATAATTAATGAACCAAACTTAATTAGTCATCATCTGATTTTTATACAAATTATGTAAATATGGTTATAATATATCGATATGGATATACTAATGGAAATAATCTAGACATGACAAAATCTGCTACAGTTTTTATTTACTGTACTTAAATTTAAATTCTCCACTGTTCAAGTATCATATGCATGTACTCTTGCATAAATCAATTATAATTATTATTACTTATGGCTCCCCACCCATTAATATATAGAGTAAAGAGAGTGACATCACACGACCCTGTCATACACCTGCATAATATCACAGCATTTAATATACTCTTAACACCATTAATTTTTACATCTGCACCAATTCCTAGATAGAAAGAATTAAACAAAACTCTGCTAACTTCATACATGTTTAAACAATCCTTCTCAATTTACTGTCATATGATTTTTTCATGAATAGCTAGAGAGAAACACTGTACTAACATGATTAGCTAGAGGGAAATAACTGTTTAAACATGGAGAGGTATAGACGGAAACATTACACTGAACATATATATACTTTAGGTAGAAAAAAGTTATGAATTGAACACAAGAAGAATAGAAAGAAAGGCAGAGACAGATGGACAAACTTAAATTATATCCAGAAATTGCTGAATCTTCCTTGACATGCACAATTCTTTATAATATGATAGATCTACACTGTTTTAACATTTCCTTTTGAAATGTTCCTTACTCAATCAAATCTACAAGGAAGGGTCTGGGGTCCACACACTGTACCTGCGTTAGAAGGAGAACAACAGAGGCCAGATAGTCTGCTGGGGGCACGACTATGGTCTCCTCCACCCATGCCCAGACAACTTCCACTCCTGCTGTCACCAGCATCAACACTGACACCATCTACAGGAAAGATGAACAGTTGAACTATGTGGCAATACCATTCTATATGGCATGACTGTGGGGTGGTGTCAGAGTAGGGTGGCATGGACTGACTATTAGGTGGTATAAGTGACTGTTGGGTGTCATCCAGGATTCTAGGTTGGCTTGAGTGCCTGTTGGGTGGCATGAATGACTGAAGAGTGGCATGTAGGATTAAAGGGTGGCATGAGTGCCTGTTGGGTGGTATGAATGACTGTATGGTGGTATAATTGTAGGGTGACATGAGTGACTGTAGGGTAGCATGAGTAACTGAGGTATTACCATCATGGGGTGACATGTGTGTTAATCTGTAGGATGGTGTGACTGGAGTAGTGTCATTACAGGGCAACATGAATGACTGTAAGGTGATGTAATTATAGTACAGTACAGTGTGACTCGTGGCATGATTGATAGAGTGACTTGTTAAAGGGTGTGCCTTAATCGAGATGGTGTGGCTGTGGGTTGGAGTGACTGATGGTATGACTGTAGGAGGGAGTGACTGTGTGGGGCATGATTATAAGATGGTGCAACTGCGGAAAGGTGTGACTGCGGGATGGTGCGACTGCAGGATGTGAATTAAATACAGTAGTTTAAGTCTGATAATCTAATACATTTAACAGAAAGAGTTCATTTATATTATACATAAGAACAAATCATACTGCTGTTGTTGATGAACAGTGTCCTCACCAACTTGGTGTAGATGAGAGCTGTCCATGGCAGAGGGTCCAGAGGTCTTCTTTTGAGGAAGGGTAGGTATAGGATGGTGCTGACCCACAGCAGAAGGCAGGGAGTCCACACCAGCACTGTGCGTTCGACACAACTCCCAAACTCTGGCACCCGACTCTCCCACGCGGCACTCACATTCTGCAAGAAATATAATTTTCAAGAAGGGGTCCTGGAGTCCTGGAGGTCTGTTTAAACCAACCTACCTGAATTGATTCAGTCCTCACATGCCAGAGGTAAGTTTGTTTCAACAAACAGGGGGAAGCTGCATGGGGGTACTTAAATTTGAAGTAAAAAACATTTGTGTGGTGTGTATATGTGTATGTAACAAGAGAAAATTATGTAGATAACACCTTAAAATGGGGAGTAAATGTGGTGTAGGACATGGTTATTCAAACTATTTTCCTGCAAGCCAGATAAATCACATATAATTCATATAATATCCTCATGAATCTATAACTATGCTTAGTCTGATACTGTCTGGTATGTAATATAAAACAATATAAGGAAATTCTTCATAATTAATCAAATACTGTATACACAAAATTTACCTCTTCATTGTGATTGTCATTACAGTATAATGCCCATGATTTATTTATATATTTATTTATTTATAAGTTTGGTTCAACAATGAGGGAAAATAATGATGGGAAAACGTTCTGGATACAATGATAGCTGGTTCATTGGGACATCTATAATATATATAATAACCATTATTGGGACTAGGAAGCCCCTACAGATTAACAACAGATTTGCCTCTGGATGCAACAGTTGCCCAACTCCCCCGTACCTAGGCGAAGAGAGGCATCAAGGGAAACGAAACATGTTCATCCATTTCTTCGTGATGGTACATGCAGTTTGCATGTACAGCAGTTTATGCTCCCGATGATTGCACCCGTCCATTTCTGTCCTGCCCGGGGTCCCAGCTATATAGGGATACAAGTTATTATGGTTGCTCCTGGTGATTTTAGGGCGACGATGTAACTAGATGAATCTAATTCGAATGAATCAATAAAACGGCCTGCAGAAGAAAACTGCCTAGTAGAGCTAACTACCTGACACGACCCGAATACCCTATACTAACGGGGTGAGAATAGCTTGAGCTAACTCATCACTTTGTGTGTATTTTACCTCAATAAACTTATTTCAATTTCAAATACCCTATACCCGCCATTCACAGGGTAACAACCCCGGCAGTGAAAGGCAGGGGTTGTTACCCCCTAATGGGCGGTCCGTCTAATTACCACAAGCTACACAAGCTTCAGAAAGCTTCCTGGCAATACGTTAGTAATGAATAAATATGATATATTTACTCATTATAATGTTGGTGCTGAATGTACAACACGAAAAAACAATTTTAATCTGAAAAAGTATCTTTTTATAAAGAAATTAGGCGAAAATAAAATGCTGGTGACGCCAAATCAAGTCTACGATCCAAGCGTCGGTTTGGTTATGTTAGGTTTGGTTAAGTTAGGTTAGGTTAGGTTAGGTTAGGTCAGCCTAACCTATCATATTTATTCATTACTAACGTATTGCCAGGAAGCTTTCTGAAGCTTGTGTAGCTTGTGGTAGCTTGTGGTAATTAGACGGACCCCCTAATAGGGGTAACAGAGCAGAACAGAGGAGCCTTCAGGGCATGGCGGACCCCTGCTCAATTCCCGACGAACAAGCAAGAAAATTTGTCAACAGCGCCTGTGACCCCGTGGCAATATAGACATGGCACCCATCCGGGCACGTGAATGAAGGTGCCTTAAGACAAGACATAACCCAACAGGCAGGAAAAGCAAAATATTTAACGGCGACCACCCCTAGACAAGCACAAATCAGGTGTCCGCACAGCTCCAGGTACAGCGACTGCCAGACCTCGTTCAGGGTTGCCAGATCCAAATTGGTAAAAGTAGCGAGCTGACGGTCTCAAAGTAGCGAATTTGTAATAAGAGTAGCCCAATTTTTTGTTTAGTGACTGATATGGGTTTCAAAGTAATCTATTATGATATATAGAGTACATTAAACGATTTTAATTGTTTATTAACATTATCTCTACATATATATATTTAACCAATATGATAATAGGATAACGTACCAATATTTACTGTTTGAAGCTTAATAGGTGTAAAGTCCTTCCATGTCTTTACAGTTGAAGATTACCAAGATCTTGATCTGCATCCACAACCTCGTTCTTGTATATTGCAGACTCATATTTAAGTATTGACATGAGTGGTTCAAATGACGAGCAACAAGTTACATTTTCTTCAAGATATGTTTTGATTCTCAAGACTGATGTCAAAAGCTCAAGTCCCATTCCCATTCAAGATTTCTCAGTTTAGTTTTCACAGACGTTACTCTGGAAAATATCCGTTCAACCAGGGCATTACTGATTAGCAAGCTGTATATTTTCAACACAAACTCAGCGAGGTCAATCAGTATGGGATCGCCAGCAGTGTTCTTGACAGTTATTGTCTTGGTCTAAAATGACGATTCAGATGTCGGAATTTGTCCCTTACAAATGTTGGACTAGTCAATGGTTAACAGTAGGCGCCACTGACTTTCAATTTCACAAAGTTTAGATTGGTCAGCTAATACTAACGGAAGTTCCGAAAATGGTGGCCATGTAAGCTAAGGCAGATTTTTCACCTTTTTTTATAGTTTCAACATTACTTAGAATACGAGAAAGAAGCTATTTGCAAGCTTTCATTAAAAAATTATCGCATCTTTCTTGAACATTTTGAAACTTTTCATGGGTTGTAAAATTGTTTTGTCTGTTAGTGGCCAGTTGTAGTGTAGTAGAAAATGTAGAAATTCGTAACCAAAGTCAACTTTCTCCAGGGGCAGATACATAGAATTGTAGTCCAAATTAACATGAAGCTTTGCATGATGAGGACGAAAGATTCTTCTGAGTATTCCAAGAGTGAAGTTTTCTAAGACAGTGTGAAGGCTATACTGATCTGCTTCATCTTTTGATAAAGTAAATTCATCCTTTCAAAATCATTTAGGATTGGTATGAGACATGTGAAATATAGCTTATTGGAGGGATCAGCGTACATTGCAAATAGTTGCCTTGCAACATATTTATCACAAGATGAAAAAGCTATTTGGTAATGAGTTGTTAGAAAACCCCACTGATCAAACGGCCGCTTTACACTAATTAATGAAGATCTGTGGAACCAGGTGTAGCTTTTGGGATGAAGTATTATTAACAATTAAGGTTGGGAAATCTATTGCCCCTGGGGAGGATTACCTTGCCTTGCGGTTACTTTTTCTTTCAAAAGTTCCTAGGATCAACATTCCCAGGGCCCGGTCTCTGACCAGGGCACTCCTGCGGAAAGTGGTCTAGTCAATCAGGCTGTTGGACTGGGCTGTGATTTGTACAGATTATATTATTAAAGCATAAATAATCATCATTGAGTTTCTTACTATTAATAGCCCAAAGTAGCCCAACTTGCGTTTAAACTAGCCCAAAAAGTCGCAAGTAGCGAAATGAAATATTTGGGAGCGTGGGGCTCTCAAAAGTAGCCCAATTCGCTACTTGTAGCCCAATCTGGCAACCCTGTTCTGACTCTCTACACCTATTTTCATTTTCAAATTACGACTTTTTATACCGAAAATATGCCAATTACTGAAAACGGCGATGGGTCATATTTTGCCCAAACCCCCCTGCAGTTTTCAAAATATCTGAAATGTCGGAAATTTAACTCCTGAGCGTGATTTTTGACCTGAATTTTGACTCTCTGCACCTATTTTTCATTTTCAAATTACGACTTTTTATACCGAAAATATGCCAATTACTGAAAACGGCGATGGGTCATATTTTGCCCAAACCCCCCTGCAGTTTTAAAAATATCTGAAATGTCGGAAATTTGACTCCTGAATGTGATTTTTGAGCCGAATTCTGACTCTCTGCACCTATTTTCAATTTTAAATTACTACTTTTTACACCGAAAATAAGCCAATTACTGAAAACGGAGATGGGTCATATTTTGCCCAAACCCCCCTGCGGTTTTCAAAATATCTGAAATGTCCGAAATTTGACTCCTGAGCGTGATTTTTGAGCCGAATTCTGACTCTCTGCACCTATTTTCATTTTCAAATTACGACTTTTTATACCGAAAATATGCCAATTACTGAAAATGGCGATGGGTCATATTTTGCCCAAACCCCCCTGCAGTTTTCAAAATATCTGAAATGTCCGAAATTTGACTCCTGAGCGTGATTTTTGAGCCGAATTCTGACTCTCTGCACCCATTTTCATTTTCAAATTACGACTTTTTATACCGAAAATATGCCAATTACTGAAAACGGCGATGGGTCATATTTTGCCCAAACCCCCCTGCAGTTTTTAAAATATCTGAAATGTCCGAAATTTGACTCGTGAGCGTGATTTTTGAGCCGAATTCTGACTTTCTGCACCTATTTTCATTTTGAAATTACGACCTTTTTACATCGAAAATATGCCAATTACTGAAAAAGGCGATGGGTCATATTTTGCCCAAGCCCCCCTGCAGTTTTCAAAAGATCTGAAATGTCGGAAATTTGACTCCTGAGTGTGATTTTTGAGCCGAATTCTGAAGTCTCGTTCTCAGTCGGCAGCCTTCAATTAGCCTTCAAGACATCTTCCTTAAGCTGTCTAATGTTAAAGTCAAAGTGAAGTTCGAGGGAAAAAAGCCATTTTATAGTCAAGTAGTACTAAAGTAAAGTAAATTTTAATCAGGAAAGTACATACATAGTTGATTTACAAATATAATGTTGGATTTATAGAAAGAGCTAGTACATACAATACCTAAAGCCACTAGTACGCATAGCGTTTCGGGCAAACGAAATATACTTTACTTTGGAATATATTAAATATATATACTTTGGAGACATAAGGAATTAGAAAATAACCTTTCCACCAACGCTCACAGGATAGAAATAGGCTCGGGGCATAATAACTTAATTAAACTAAAGAAGAAACTGCCGATGGCTAATTGAGAGCTTCACATTTTCCGGAAAACATGGCGACCACTTACCCACAATGGCCCGTTGCACACACCAGAGAAGAATATGTCCGTCGCTTGTGCGCCTGGCGAACCCATCATGCTAGGCTGCTACTCGATTCCGACTCTCGCTTCTTCCCGTGATCTTAAAATCCATAAAATATATATATATATATATATAAATCGTTTTAATAAGGGTAGAGAAATTCTCTTGTTTTATCTTATAGCTTCCAACAAAATGTGTTATCAGTTATTGATATGGTGTAGTGTGACAATCAAATTGTATTGTTGAAGTAGGTCTAGTGAGGTGGGATGGCAAAAATCCTGTTGATTGTACAGTATTGAAGTTCTGGTGAGATTGTAATTGAAATTGAAATAAGTTTATTGAGGTAAAATCCACACAAAGGGATGAGGTAGCTCAAGCTATTCTCACCCCGTTCAGTACATCGTGTTAATACATACATAGACACACATCACAAACAATAAACATATTAACTGGTGAGATTGTAATAACTTGTGTAGTTATGTAGTTACAGGATGAGAGCTACGGTCGTGTTGCTCCGTCTTCCCAGTACTCTGTCATGTTTATATATTTTATTTATTTATATACAAGAAGGTACATTGGGTTTATGAGAGAACATAGCATTGATGTTTTTACATTCTTGTAAAGCCACTAATACGCATAGCGTTTCGGGCAGGTCCTTAATCTAACAGATAATTTTAAGTAGGTAATTTCTAGCAAAATTTAAAAAATGTTAACAGGTACATTGTAAGAAAATTTGACAAAGAATATTAGGTACATTAAAAATAAAATTTGAGGGTTATCAACAAGTACATTGTAGCATAATTTGAGGATTATTTCAAGGTATAATACAGTAAAATATGCGTTCAATATAACAACCTTGATATAGTTCAAGTTCAAGTATGTTTATTGAGACAAGAAAAAAATACATCTCAAAGGGATAGAGTAGCTTAGGCTATTTCTACCCCCCAACATTATTGCCAACAGCATTTGGTGTTCCCAGGCGGTCACCCATCCAAGTACTAACCAAACCCAACGTTGCTTAACTTCGCTGATCGGACGAGAAGCGGTGTTCTCAACGTGGTATGGCCGTTGGCACCTTGATATAAGATGATAGCAATGATTACAATGGTAAAGTTATATGGCTTCGGTACATATATAGAGGGATTGGGCCAAGCCACTCCTTAAACGTCAGCATGTTTGAAGGCTACCAGGCTCCAATTATGAGATTAGTAGAAGTAAGGTGAAATTCGCATGATCTGACCTCAGGTCACTTGGGGTCATTAACGCTTTGAGGTGTGAGATCTCAGGCCGACAACCTGGCGCCTTTCCAAATCCCTGTCTGTGACTCATGTACTATATATATTTTAAATAAACTAAACCAAACACTTTACAGTGTTACAATACTTCATGTAAATAAAATTATTATTATTATAATTTTATTTAATTCGTTTTGTCGGGGACAAAAAGAGAGAATTATCAGGGGAAAGCGTCAAGCCATTATGACCATATAGCACTGGGAAGGGGTCAGGATAAGAATTTGGGATGGGACGGGGGGAAGGAATGGTGCCCAACCACTTGGACGGTCGGGGATTGAACGCCGGCCTGCATGAAGTAAGACCGTCGCTCTACCGTCCACCCAAAGTGGTTGGACTCTGGGACAAGAAGCTTGTGTATATACTTTAGACTTGTATCGATGTCACGATGTATCGTGACATCGATAAAACACGACAATAATTGATACTCGCTCGGCGAGTGTCACTGGTAAGTGCAGTGTGTGTGAGTAACCACTTAAGAAACACAAGAGACTAGCTGCGAGATATACTGAACGGCACAATAAAGATTCATGTACCTACACAACCTGGTGGAGACGGACTGTCCACCGCCAGCTGGTATTTCCCTCACGCCTCACGATTATACCAGCACACACCCACACCTCTATACTACTGCAGCTTGTATGCGTGTATGAGGAAGGTCTCACTGTAGGCCGTCACAGCGTAGCCTCAACCACCACTCCAACAAATTTTGCTGCACCAGGATGACGCTAGGTTGGGCTGTGGCGCCACATTAATTCCCACCAGTTTACCACCACATGACGCAACCTTTGCTTGTCAGAGGGACCTCTACTGACGGCAGATGCAGACTATGCCACATAATATACAATGCTGATAACAAAACAAAGCTTACACGGTGAGGGCTGATAACTACACTTCCCTATCTCCCATTCAGAAGTAAGTCAACCTCATACAAGGAACGGCTGAGGACCGTAGAACTAACAACGTTACAACTAAACATGACATACTGGACAAATTGGATGATTTTATCCCACACTATGTAAGACACCAATGAATTGATTCTGCATCCAACGTGACCCAAGCCATAAATGACAAGACATTCCTTCTTTTTAAAATTCAGCTAGGAAAAAACTGTCAGGAATAATGGTGTAACAATTTACAAGCCGCTGGCTTCCTGTCCCCGTCGAGGCCATCATACATGGTAAATCTCAGCTGTGGAAGTCGAGCTTCATTTCGTGTGTAATTACCTAAATTACCTAAGTATAGTTACAGGTGCGTCAATTTAGTGCAGATATGGCACATGGCACATTATGTACATGGAATACAAATATTTTTATGCCATGTACATAACATGGCAAAATGTTATGTACATAACGTCAATTTAGTGACGTAAATTAATAACCCAAGTTCTAAGCTTGCCTTATTAATTTGGATTTATGGGGCAGCCCGTCCTCAGACCTAATCCATTACCACGAACCCTCCCCCCCCTCATCAAACCACGTGGATAGTTACCTAGATATTTGTGATGGTCTGAAAGCATATACGGTTCCAGTTACAGTCAACATGTAAATTAGCAAATGAATCGTTGTCATAAACAGAGATTATTCTCACGTTGTAATTTTAATGTAATAGAAATCTTTAGTTTAAAATATAAAGTGTATACTGAAGTATTTGTATACTTATTTGTAAAATATAAAATACATATAAAATATTTGTACAATATTCACGGGCACCCTGAAACAGTTTTCGAATTCTATATTTCATATTAATAATAGTATTAATGTAACCAAACGTAATGAAACCTAATCCAACCTGACCTAACCTAGCCAAACCTTAACCTAACCTAACCATGGATAGAGTAGAAAATATCACAAATTATGTAGTCATTCCCAATCCATTATCTTGAGGCGGATGTCCTTCCCGGTGATAGGTTGTAGATAAACTCAGTTGATGAATTCATTGGAGTAGGTTAAATAAATAGCTGAATATTTATATTTTATTACACTTACAAGCTTACAGTTAGTTATTGTAGTGTTAGTTTTTTTATATCTTATCGCACACTGTTGTATGTATATTGGTCATACACCAAACATGATTTTTGCTTGAGGTACCTCATCCCTTTGTGTGTATTTTACATCAATAAACTTATTTCAATTTCAATTTCCAAACACGACAGATTTAGTGAGTGTTAATGGAACTCTAGACTCTAGACCTTGCTAGCTCTGATTGTGACGCTTTTGCTGGGTTTATGACAGAGAACATCTACACGTCTACAGCAGCAGAAGAAGGGGTCCTCAACACGCTTATAGAAGGAGGTCCATGGCCAGGAAGCGAAGGAATACACTAAGGTAGCCTAGGGCGACGGCTGAACGATGCGCCAAGCAGTTACCAGCCATTGGCCGCTCCTCCCGCCGCACTCTGTGCACACCATTATGTTAGTGGGTTAGAACATATGTCCCTGATATTAATTAGTACACACACCATAATGTTAGTACTCACACCACAACGTTAGTTTGAACACGCACATTAATTCGTTTTATAATAATTCATCGGGGAAAAGACGGCACTCACCCCTCTGCCACTCATCCTTTTCTGCCTGTTCAACCTCTTCTGTCCCCTCACCCCTCCCCCCTGTCTGTTCCCTCACCTCCCATTTGCCCCTTTACTCCTCCTTTGCCTCTCAGCCCCACCATTTCTGCCTCGCAAGCCCCTCTCTGGCTCTCAACAAGCCCCATCATCTCGATTAACCCTTCCCTGCCTCTCACCCCCTCTCGCAACTGCTCTCTGCCTCTAAGACTCTCTCTGCTTTTTAGACCCTATTTGGTTTTCAGACCCTTTCTGCCCCTCAGTACATTATTGCCTCACAGCCCCTCTACAGGAGCTGAATCTTATATATCGATGTTTGCACATCTGCAGACTGCAAAATTAATAAGAAGAGTTGAGACAGACGAGGACTGAAAAATACTCCAAAATGACTTACACAAGCTGCAGAGATTTTCCAACAAATATTTACTGGATTTCAACACCAGCAAGTATAAGGTGATGGAAATGGAAGCAGGTGACAAAATATCAAAAAGAAGGTACACAATTTAATTTATTATAATAAATAGTTCATAAATAGTTTTGTTGTGGGAAAGGCAGCGTGTATATATATCCATGTTAGGCTTATATCGAGGTCCCCCCCCAAAGGTCTAACTATTGACCTTCCCCAGGATGCAACCCCACAACAAGCTGACTACCTATTTACAATCTGTATACCTATTTACTGCTAGGTGAACAGAGGCATTAGGTGATAGGAAACGTTCTGAACCGTTTCTATCTCGCCCAAGATTCGAACCTGGAATTCTCGATTGTGAATTCTCGAGTTTCCAGTAAGGAAACTCGAAAAGGTTTAGAAGTTTGCAACGAGTTTCGTCCCAAAATTGCAGGTATGGGGTATGAAGAAAGACTGAAAGAACTAGACCTGATGACGCTAGAAGAGGGGAGAGAGTGGAGACATGACATAAATGTATAAAATACTTAGGGGGACTGACAAAATGGAAAAGGAAGAAATGTTTGCAATGACTACTAACAGAACAAGTAAGCATGGATGGAAGTTTGAGAATCAAACTAGTCATAAAGATTATAGCAATTTTGCTTTTAGCATAAAAGTAATGGGGAAATGGAATGGACTAAAGGAGCAGGTTGCAGAAACGAACTCGATTCATAATTTTAAAAGTAGATATGATAGGGAAATACGTCAAAGTCATTGTCATTAGACAACTGACGGGGTTCAAGAGTTAAAGCTTGATACTGCAGACACAACTAGGTCTACACACACTACGATTTGTTTAATTTAAAATCTACGTAATACGTCTAAATTTATCAGTACCAAATAAATCTCCAGGCAAAATTCTATTGGTAGCTAGGTAAAAATCTAACTAAATATTTAATTAAAAAATATGGATGATTTGATTATTGTTAGTGGATTACTGAGTCTCTTTATCTGGTGATAGAGACACAAGAATAAGGTGGTGATGCTCACCTAGCGTGACTATGAGGTTTGGTGAGGTACACTGGAGAGGCACCAAAACACCCTGACTCATGCTGCCAGGACAGCACCTCAACCAGCCACTCCTTCTTGAAGAAGTCCCTATACCCGAAGATGCCACACAGAGCCCCTGGTGAAAGGAGACAAGGAATCTTACTTAGACATCATGAAACTAAATTTAACTACATGCAGCTCTCATATTCAACTCACAGATATGTTAAAAGTACTTAAAATTATCTGCTAGGGGTAAATTGCAACATAACTTTTGGATATGTCCAAATGTTGCTATTAAATTCACGAATTATCAGGACTGATATTATAAAATCTACAAACTAGGTCCTTTGAAATATTGTTCAGTTATGACTGACCATGCTCCATGAATACTGTCCAACTGCGGGTAACCTTGCTACAAGAGAACTATCGGAGTAACACACTACACCACACTTTGTTTTATCGGAGTAATACTAATCTTTCACCATGAATACTGTTCAACTAGAGCTGACCTTGCTCCATAAAGAGGTCGCGACGATGCTCTGGAAAGCCTGCCTGTGAGATGGTGGTGGCCTCTTGGAGCACGGCAGTACACAGCTGATCCAACATGGAATCCACAGAGCCCTCGAGACCACCATTAGCACTGCCACTAGCAGCGTTCCTCGCTGCCATATCTTCCAGTTGCTGCCTGCACCCAGCCTGAAGACCCACACAGGATGGGATGAAAGTTGAGACATTGTCACAGGGTGAGATACTTAATTACATAATGCCGTGATGTGAGTACAGTTTGCAAAGAAATGTTAATTATGTGTACTTCAATATACGAGAGTTTAGTTTAGTTAATTTATTATGCACCCCATACCCATCTTGTGGGCAGTAGTGGAAAGGGTTACAGTACCAGTTTCAAGGTCATTAATCTATATTATGAACAGTAAGGGTCCCAGAACAGGGCCCTGGGAAACTCCACATGAGACGGTAATGCACGCTGTGCTAACTCTGGTCCCTACTAGCTCATTATACTTGAACCCATTTTAGCATGCCACCTCCAGGGTCGTACAGTGTGATATAAGAGTGGCTCACCTGTAGTCCAATAATGAGGTAAAAGACCTGATGCGTGAGGGAGTATCCGGAATAACCCTGGGCTGTCATCCGCTGCCAGCACTCCAGGCTCACGGCACATTCCACGCCCTCATGCCTCACCTCATCACGTCTAGCCTGTTCATCACTCCAGGCCTCATCACCACACCTGGTCTCATCACCACACGTGGTCTCATCACCACGTCTGGTCTCAGCGCCAAGCCTGGTCTCATCACCAAGCCTGGTCTCATCACCACGTCTGGTCTCATGATCACCAAGGTCACCATATACGCCACCCAGCTCTTCGGCAATGCACTCGTCAGACTGCCGCTCTACCAACTGTTCCTCGCCTGCAGAAGTTATTTACGTGCTATAAAGTATCAGCTCACATGAACAATGAACATATGGCAGGACTGATACGCACGGAAAAAACACAGACCAAAAATGCAATGTTTTAATTAATATACTCTCAAGGAGTTATTAGGCAACGTATATGTCAACACAACATAACCCAAACAAGTCTGGAAATATTGTATTTTAAACGGTTAGAGATTTGTATTAAATTCAATAATAATTTATTAATTATTAATAATTTAATAATTATTTCTTATTATAGTGGTGTATAATTGGCCTTCGGAATGGTGAAGGTATAGATACTATTCAAGTTCAAGTATGTTTATTGAGATAAGAAAGAAATACATCTCAAAGGGTAGCTTAGGCTATTTCTACCCCCTTATAGATACTATTACCGCGGAGGACGGCGGTTGGGCTGTGGGGTGGGGCGAGAGGTGTGGTGTTGAGGGCCCGCACTGTGAGGGGCACATCCCAGAAGCCAGCATTAACCAGTGCTCCCAGCTCTGTCATTGGGAGTCAAGGTTAACAGTCACCCATCTTGGAACAATCGTTAGTTTTACCCAGCACCCACCATCCTTGCACATACACACGTGTCTCAGTAACAAGCGTTTTCCCTTGGCTAGCAAACAAACACTTTAATAATTGCTAAATTAGATTAGTATCACCCTTTATTTATTTATATTTATTTATTTATTTATTTATTTATGCATATACAAGAATGTACATAAGGAATGTGAGGATACAATTATGGTAATTACAGTCTTGTAAAGCCACTAGCACGCGCAGCGTTTCGGGCAGGTCCTTAATCTAAGAAAATTTTAAGGAGGTAAATACTTGCAAAATTTATAGACAAAAAAATGATAACAGATTACATGGAATGAAAAAAAAAAAAGATGAGAGAAAATTATAGGTACAGTATATTAAAGCACATAGGTAGCTATGATAATCAACTCATATCTGTAACAATTGTTACGTTGGTATAGCTACATATAATTAATATTGTCAGATACTATAAAGTATTCTTATAGGTCTCTTAAACACTTAGTATACCTACTGATTCAATAATAATATAATTGAAAAATATTGTAAATTAACCCAATCATATTTTTAAATTGACAATTTTGCTTTGCTAAACATTGCAACATACAGTTGGTCTAACTTGCATCATAAATTACATTGTAATAACTTTAACCTCACAAAGTTGTCATGAAAATCCTGACTTCTGAATCGTCACACAAAAGGCAATGTCAAGTAACTTGTTATTCAACCTGATGACTTGTTCTGCCCTTCACGAGTTGAACAGTGGCTTATTAGCGACCTATTAGCCTATCAATTGTAACTCGCTGATATTAGTAGGCAACAAGCTTGAGGAGGGATAAGAACGATAATTTAACCTAGCTAAACAAAATTTTTAAATAAATAATAAGCCAAATTCTACAGTTTCCGGTTAAGTGACCCGTTTTCTAAATCCCTTTAACGTAAGCTAAATCATTCTAGAGTAAAATATTCCATCCTAGCTTAAACAGTTTATTCAATGAAACAAACTCTCCTCATCTAAGTCGTCTAGAAATTCGTGTCGCATCCATCTATGTGAAGACACATAGATGGATGCGACGACAATGATTATATAATCCAATAACAGCATTTTTTATATTAACATATTTAGGTACATCCGCGTTTATGCTATTACTATAGATTATATGAAGTGTTACATAGTGTGTAACTTATCATTTTTTATAAATTTTGCAAGTATTTACCTACTTAAAATTTTCTTAGATTAAGGACCTGCCCGAAACGCTGCGCGTACTAGTGGCTTTACAAGATTGTAATTACTATATTATGTATCCTCACAATCCCAATGTACCTTCTTGTATATATATATAAATAAATAAATTCTAAAAACTGCCGTCTCGCAACACGAGTTTAAGTGTTCCCAGTAAATGATTTACTGCACGTACAGCGACTCACCGCGGTAATACTGTGGGTAGGCTTTCATGATGAAGGTCTTTGCTATAGTGCTGACCCGCCCAGCCTCCTGTGCCAAGGTCCTCACGCCCTCCACACCCACACTACCTCTCATGGGCTCCTCGCTCTCCACTACCTTCGTTAATGCTTGCCACACCAGCCGAAACTGTGCTGTGGGGAGAAAGTCAGTTTAGTTGTTAACAGATGAAAGACAAGTGGTATTAGATGAGGAATAGGCGGTATTAGATGAGACTGCGAGTTAAGGTGTATGTATCTTACATACATAGTTATGTATGGGTGGTATTAGATGAGGGATGGGTGGGTACAGAAGACGACTCTCATATCCTCCAAGTGCTTAACAGTCGTACTGACTTATTTCCTTTCCTCAGACTTAGTATTTTAAGTTTCAAGACAAAGCGATAAAGCGTTCTAGAGTTATTGAACACAAACCTCGAATAAGATACAGAGGAAATTACTACTGTGGATACCTAATTTAACATCCAACTGGCAGTCATTTTTGGAGTGAGAATACTTATTAATGCTGACAATTATCACAAAACTATGACTGACGTCTCCATCAAACACACGTTTGATGGAGGCGGGACCAAAGAGCCAGAGCTCAACCCCGCAAACACAACTAGGTGAGTACACGTACGTAACACATTAAAAAATACTACTCCTGTAATTAGCGAAGGCCCAAACGTTACTATTTAGTGATGCACCAGCTGTTTACCTCAAGACCAGCGTCTTAGGCGACTTTTACGGGGACAGAAAGCCGGCGGCTTATCAGAGACCCCCCCCCCCTTTGTTCCTCAGGATTTTTTTATACAGCTGTGTAATGAAGGAGCTGCTAGGGAATATTTCAATGAAAGATGGCTATCACACACCTTACCTATCTCCCTGACGTGCTAATGACACACTACGAGCGTTGATGAAGCCTCTTGCGATCTGTTTGATGACTGTTTTAGACGTGTCAGTCATCAAAGTAAGCAAGTGAGCGCTGCTGCCATATTCATAATAGAAAAATGGGGGGCTCTTATTTTTCAATAACCTCTTAATTTAAGAGGCTCCTAATTTTCAATAACTTAGGTTGACGAAGGTTGTATTATTGCTAACTAGGATATTTAATGAAATACGAAAATACAAATTATATGTGTTGGATTTATTGCACGGCGTTAAGTAACACGACTCAATTTTTAATACACATTGTAGATCAAAATTTGCAAGGCTAAGTTACACACATCACCCCCCTCCAAGTCCAAATATTTGTGGTTGGCTTCCCCACTGGAAAATTTAGCTTAGGAGAGGAATTATACAAGTATTTCAGTGGTGTATGTATGTATGTATGTATGTATGTATGTATGTATGTATGTATGTATGTATGTATGTATGTATGTATGTATGTATGTATGCGTGCGCGTGCGTGCATGGCACATTTATGTGCGGTTGTGTGTACTCACCTGGTTGTGCTTGTGAGGGTTGAGCTCTGGCTCTTTGGTCCCGCCTCTCAACTGTCAATCAACTAATGTACAGGTTCCTGAGTGTGTGTGAGTGAGTGAGTGTGTGTGTGTGTGTGTGTGTGTGTGTGTGTGTGTGTGTGTGTGTGTGTGTGTGTGTGTGTGTGTGTGTGTGTGTGTGTGTGATTACAGAGAAGGGGATTATGTGGGGGTGGCGTGTGTATAATAATTATCCAAGAATTACAGGGTAGGCCGGCCGTTACCGTCTGCTGACTACGGTATTCTAATATTTTGGTCGTTGGGGTCACGTCGCGAATGGAATACGCGAGCATACTAGTTATATAAATATATATACAGAGAGAAAGAGAGAGTGTAGTGCTTTTCAGGCAAAGCCCTCCGATTTGGCCGGAATTAGAGGGAGTTCAGAGAACATATACGGCATACATAGACACGATAAAGCACCTAAATTATTGGGATCGTCTCAAAGCTCTCCAAATGTACTCACTAGAAAGGAGACGAGAGAGATACCAAACAATATACACATAGAAAATACTGGAGGGGCAAGTCCCAAATCTGCACAGTAAAATAACAGCGGACTGAAGTGAACGATATGGAAGAAAATGCAGAATAGAACCAGTGAAGAGCAGAGGTGTCATAGGCACAATCAGAGAACACTGTATAAACATCAGAGGTCCACGGTTGTTCAACATCCTCCCAGCGAGTATAAGAAATATTGCCGGAACAACTGTGGACATCTTCAAGATAAAACTAGTTTTCTTCAAGAAGTGCTGGACCAACCGGGCTGTGGTGGATATGTGGGCGTGCGGGCCGCTCTAAGCAACAGCCTGGTGGACCAAGCTCTCACAGGTCAAACCTGGCCTCGGGCCGGGCTTGGGGAGTAGAAGAACTCCCAGAACATAAGAACATAAGAACAAAGGCAACTGCAGAAGGCCTATTGGCCCATACGAGGCAGCTCCTATTTATAACCACCCAATCCCACTCATATTGAAAAACATAAATTAATAATTGAGTCGCAACATGGTTTTATAAATGGCCGTTCATGTTTAACAAATTTGTTATCTTTTTATTCTAGCATTGTTGAGGCAGTTGATAGTGGTAAGGATTGCGATGTTGTATACCTTGACTTTAGCAAAGCTTTTGATACAGTGCCACATGAAAGACTGATTAAAAAAATAGAGTCTCATGGTATTGGGGGTGCTATATTAAGCTGGATTAGGGCATGGCTATACCAAAGGAAACAGAGAGTTAGTATAAATGGAATCAAGTCAGAGTGGGAAAATGTTGTAAGTGGAGTGCCTCAAGGCTCTGTCCTGGGACCTCTGTTGTTTATAATATATATAAATGATTTAGATTCAGGTTTGAGTAGCAACATTTGCAAATTTGCCGATGATACGAAAATCGGTAGGGAAATTAATTCGGAGGAGGACTCACTATCACTTCAAGTTGATCTAGATAGGGTTTTGAAATGGTCAAAGGATTGGCAGATGCAGTTTAATGCTGATAAATGTAAAGTTCTGAGGTTAGGTAATGATGATAGAGTTACAAGATACGAGCTAGATGGTGTTGTGATTGCGAAGTCGGATTGCGAAAGGGATCTGGGAGTTATGATTAGTAAGAATTTAAAACAAAAGGATCAATGCATAAATGTTCGTAATAAGGCAAATCGGACACTTGGATTTATTAATCGCAGCGTTAGTAACAAGACACCTGGTGTGGTTCTCAAGCTATATCTTGCTCTAGTTAGGCCCCATTTAGATTATGCAGTTCAGTTTTGGTCGCCATATTATAGAATGGATATAAATTCACTTGAACGTGTCCAGCGTAGGATGACTAAGTTAATTCCCCAAATTAGAAATCTTTCATATGAAGAAAGATTAACAAAGCTTAAGTTGCATTCACTGGAAAGGCGAAGAGTTAGGGGTGACATGATAGAGGTTTACAAGTGGATGAATGGACATAACCGGGGGGATATTAATAGGGTATTAAAAGTATCAACACAGGGCAGAACACGAAACAATGGATATAAATTGGATAAGTTTAGATTTAGGAAAGACTTGGGTAAATACTGGTTCAGTAACAGGGTTGTTGATTTGTGGAACCAATTGCCGCGTAACATTGTGGAGGTGGGGTCCCTCGATTGTTTCAAGCACGGGTTGGACAAGTATATGAGTGGGATTGGGTGGTTATAGAATAGGAGCTGCCTCGTATGGGCCAATAGGCCTTCTGCAGTTACCTTTGTTCTTATGTTCTTATATACATGTCCAACCCATGCTTGAAACAATCGAGGGACCCCACCTCCACAATGTTACGCGGCAATTGGTTCCACAAATCAACAACCCTGTTACTGAACCAGTATTTACCCAAGTCTTTCCTAAATCAAAACTTATCCAATTTATACCCATTGTTTCGTGTTCTGTCTTGTGTTGATACTTTTAATACCCTATTAATATCCCCTTTGTTATGTCCATTCACCCACTTGTAAACATCTATCATGTCACCCCTAACTCTTCGCCTTTCCAGTGAATGCAACTTAAGCTTTGTTAATCTTTCTTCATATGAAAGATTTTTAATTTGGGGAATTAACTTAGTCATCCTATGCTGGACACGTTCAAGTGAATTTATATCCCAAGTGAATATATTTACCCAAGTCTTTCCTAAATCAAAACTTATCCAATTTATACCCATTGTTTCGTGTTCTGTCTTGTGTTGATACTTTTAATACCCTATTAATATCCCCTTTGTTATGTCCATTCACCCACTTGTAAACATCTATCATGTCACCCCTAACTCTTCGCCTTTCCAGTGAACCCCATCAAGCAGGCCTAGTTAACAATTAGGCAACAGCGTCCGATTGTGCTTATTTCTCCTTTTACTTTTGTCTCTATGTAAATTCCTGGGAATTTGTCTAAATATCACGATAATTACATATTTCAATAATTATTACATTTATTATTTAAAAGTACTTAGGAATGATAGGCCTATCGAAGTTATGTAAGTAAATTGGACAGAATAAGTGATATACTGTAGTGTGTTTTTTCCCCTTCAGTTGGTACAAGGCATTTAGGTAGAATGGAAAATATCCTTAAGAAAATTACCAATTTTAATACTGCTGTTGTGTTCAATTATATCTATCGATCTATCTATTCATATATTTAATTATTTTGGAGGGATACCCTGTTGTGCCCGGGACTCTCTCCTGTCTTTCCCTTCCATCTTTTTTTTCCCTACACTCTTCCTCTCTCTCCCAATCGCCCCCTCTTATCATATCTCTTCTTCTATCCCCCTATCTTTCCTTCTACCACTCTGCCTCCCTCTCCTCCCTCTCTCCCCCCTTTCATATTTCTATTGTCCCCTTCTCCCCTTTCTCGTCACTTCTCTGCTCCTCTCCGTCTCTCCCTCTGTTTCTCCCACAAAATTTATTCTATATATTATGAAATCCTGAAAAATGCTAAATATCGTTATGGAAAACTTCAGATTTGACTTGATGAAAATTGAAACGGTTCACTATAGATGTCTTGAAAAGTTGGGCGAGGCTAGTCCCAAAGCCTCGCCTCCAAATTAGGACAGACAAACATTCCCTTATATTACCGCCCTGGTTGGGACTATTCCTAGTCTAGTCACACACAGTATTGTGTGTCTGTGTTCTGGGTAATACTGAATGAACTCTGGCAATATAGGTATTTTAAGATAATAGTCCATATGTTGGTGTAAGTCAGAATATAAAATCTTGATATGAAATGATAACGGCACTCATGGCGTGAGAATAATGTTAGTGTAAGCAGCTGTGAGGTCACTGAAGGCAGCTGTGAGGCCGCTGTAAGCAGCTGAAGGCAGCTGTGAGGCCGTTGTAAGCAGCTGAAGGCAGGTGTGAGGCTGCTGAAGGCAGCTGTGAAGCCGCTGTAAGCAGCTGTGAGGCCGCTGTAAGCAGCTGTGAGGCCGCTGTTGGCAGCTGAGAGACACCACTGAGGGTAGCTGTTGGCAGCTGTGAGACACAACTGAGGGTAGCTGTTGGCAGCTGTGAGACACCACTGAGGGTAGCTGTTGGCAGCTGTGGGGAAAATGTATCCTGTTTACATAGTTTATGATTGGAGTTCTCACTGTTGTGTGATTCATTACCTGGAGTTACCCCGCCATTAAGTAACGATTCAAACAAAAACGTATCAAAATCCTCCCTGAGGTGTGACTAATTCCAATGAAACATCGGGACTACTTTTTACGCCCTTGTAAATTACTGAGGTTAATTACTGTTACTCATATGTCAACAAAATGTCCCCGACTCCAAAAAGACATTGTGTTCTCAGATGAGAACACAATGAACTTTTGAGAACAATGAGAACTTGAGAACTTTTGAGAACAATGAGAACTTTTTGCCCGAAACGCTATGCGTACTAGTGGCTTTAGGTATTGTATGTACTACCTCTATCTTTAAATCAATCAGAATGTTTGTACTGTAACTCTGCAACTATGTATGTATGTACTTTTCCTAAATAAATGATTATTATTATTATTATTATTACTCTATTAGCTGTGTCAGAATCTTGCAGATCAAGAAAAGCTGATGAATAGTCGTTTTCCCACCTAATGAAGTACTCAGTTCGTGTATTTCTCTCAGGGAGAAAGCCATGCAAGCTAAGAGCAAGTTAACTTTTAATTTGCACCATTAGCCTGCTTGGAACAATCCTCTTAGAACCTTGTATATGCAGAGATATTTACCTAAATGTGTGAGTTTGCCTTATGTACAGGGATTATGAGCATATTACAAATATGTCTTTAGTGCATGTCGAGTTATTCGGACACTAATGAGCCGGACGGACGAGCCGTCTCTCGTTATCGTTATGAAAACTTCCGGCAGCACCAGTAGTGGCGTAGGGAACTATCAGTGTAAATGTCTTCAGAGAGGATGTGCTCTGTAAGCAGATAATTAATTTGGCTCAAACTATTCACATGTCTTACATCACCATGAATATCTGACTGTGCTAAAATGTGAGATATTAAGAAACAACTGTATCGCAAAAGTTCAAGAAATATACATTTATTTTATCCGACATCAACAAAATCTCATAAACTAGAGCCATAGTGAAACTCACACCAATTAATCCATCTATCATCATTCTATTGTGCATGAAGAAACGCACGTCTATGGGTCATCCAATAAGGTTAGTAAACTTCTAGATGTTACCACTGCTAGTGTCATATCATTAATGCAAACACTCAAACGTCAATGCCGTCGGGTACTTATCAACTGGGTGCCAAGTCATGTGGGAATAATAGGAATAGCATATCCACTACGGAAGCCGCAAAACTTGCAACTAAGAGAAGAAATGTAGACATTTATATACCACAGAGTCTGGAGGGCTCTCCAGACAGATACCCGAGCTCTCCTATCTTCTAGCGACGTTAGGTGCATTTCATGCAGCCATTCCTCGTAACTCATGCCTCTTAGTTCTAGGATTAGCCTAGTAGCATACCTCTGAACTTTTTCCAGCTTAGTCCTGTGCTTGACAAGGTACGGGCTCCATGCTGGGGCTGCATACTCCAGCATTAGTCTTACATACGTGGTATACAAGGTTCTGCTATCTTACATGTATGAACCTTATACAAGGTTCTACATGTGTGGAAGGGGAGAAGGAGAGGGTTGGAGAGTGGAATGAAAAAAATGAGTAGGTTGAAGTTGGAAAAAAGGTGAAGATATCTGTTGTGGGTGAGAGGGGCGGCACTGGATAAGAGAGGCAACGGAAGAGGAAGAACACAAAGGAGATCTCACCTTCAGCGATGCGAGTGCCTACGACAGCATCGAAGTTCATCTGCGTGAGGTGATCGTCGAAGTACTGGAAGAGCTGGTGACAGGCCCACATCACTCTCTCTAGTGCCCATACCTTGCCCTGCTGCAGCTCCTCATTAACAGGCTCTACCACGCCATCCCTTATAAGTTTAGGCAAGCCATCTTTCCCAGTCTGGAAATGGTCCAAGTTTACAGGCCGTTGAAGTTCCTTAAACGGGTCTTTCTGTGTAGGTTCTTGTGAGTTCTCTCTCTTGCCCTCATACTGGTCTTCTCTTACAGGCTGCCGTAAGCCCTCCTGGCCAGGCTTCAGCAGGCCATATATATCACCCTGCAAAGGTTCTGGGTGTGATCTCAATAAATTTTGTGGGTCGAACACTTCAAATGGAAAAGCGCCTCTATAATTCGATGCGATTTTAACTTTGCCCGAGTTAATTAATGGCGCCCAAGGATAGGGCGCTTCTAACTTCTTATTAAAATAATCAAACTGTGTATCCTCTGCTGATGCCGTTGGCCACACTAAGCTTCCTTTCCAAGCTGCCAGGACCAGCATGACAACATACAGAGATGGCATCGCCCCGGGAAAATGTTACAACTGAACTACCCACACAACTGAATCCTGAAAGTAGATGCGTTATTATTTCGCGGGTTATTTACGAGGTCGCCATCTGTCCAGTTCAAATTCCATATACTGTATTGGGACCGAAAATGTCAATTGTTAGTGTATGTGATGAGAGGATGTAGAGGGGCCGGCGGCCGAGAGAGGAGTGAGAGGTGTGAGTGTCTGAGGGACCGGGCTAGGTGAGGGAGGCGCTGCCTCCACCACCACCCACGGCTCCTCTCACTTCACATTATCCATACCAAGCCCAACATTATCCATACCAACCCTAGCTATGGCACTCCACTTCTCCCCCCCCCTCATCTGGCCTAGTTCTGCCCCCTCAATCACCAACACCCACCCGAGCCCTTTTAACTCACGTGGGCGGGTTAAAAGGGCACCCACCCTGCCCTTTTAACACTGGTCATCCACCTTGCCCTTTCAACCCACACCACCCACTCTTTTAACCTTGCCCTTTCAACCCACACCACCCACTCTTTAAACCTTGCCCTTTCAACCCACACCACACACTAACCTTGCCCTTTCAACCCACACCATGCACCCACTCTAACCTTCTTGTTTTCTGTTCATGGGTCTTCTGGTAGGTTAGGCTAAGGCACTTTAGGCGATATGGTCACTAAGTGTAAAATAGCAACGGAAATCGACAGAATTGATAAGGAAGAATTCCCGAGATCTGGAACTTTAAAAAGAACCTAAGGACCTTCTTGTAAAGTATGTAACCATCTCCACCCAACTCTTCTCATCCTACATGTCAACTTGTGTTTACTACTACAGTACTGTGAAAATTAATTACTAAATTGGCACTGTTACTAAAAATTGCTATGCCTAAATACTGTACTGTATAAACAAATTGTATATCATCATCTTATCTCTTTTACAAATATATAATTACTATGTTTGCACTTGTAAAAGTTGCAGACTCTAAATAGCACATTACAAATTGCTAATCTCTTCAACAATTCAATAATGTTATCTTATTTAGTTTCATATTTTACCTCTATAAGCTTGTACTGTACTGTATATTATTTTCCCAATTTTTTGTACATTATGTCCAAAATATTCTGCATATTAGTAACTTTATGCATTGTACTTATCATACCTGTGACTCCTCCACTATTTATGTATCATATGTATAAATAACAAATATTATTATTATTATTATTATTATTATTATTATTATTATTATTATTATTATAAGCAAATCCAATCAGTAGCAATTTTATTGTGGACCAGCAAGGATTCTGGGGCACACCACTGGTCAGTGATTCAGAGTATTGAGATGCTCACTGTACGTATGTTTATTACAGATGTGTGGTATGAGAGATGAAAAGCAAACAGCAAGTTAGCATGTTAAACTTTATTGCTCTGTTTCTCGTAGACACCAAACTGGTTCAGCTTTGCCGACTGAAGACCCTATACCTATTTATAAAAAGTCAGTAATTTGTACATAGACTCAAGAATGTCAGTACAGTTTAGTATTTACACATATTACCTATATCATCATTCTTGGATATTGCATGAAACTCAATAAAATTATAAATACTGTATATGAATGCCACTGTATATAATAAGCATTCCTAATGTATGAAAGTAAAAAATGGGTAGTACATTGTTAATGCTGCTACTGCATGCAAATCAGATTTGGCAAGTTTTTTTGCCTGAGTTTACTCGAGTGCTACCATCTCTCTAGTAGCCTAGACAGGGCCAGGAAACTAGTGGCTTGTCAAAAGTAGCTCCATTATTTCTGGGGATTTTTTCAAACTGGATTTTGAACTGAAGTAATGTATTGACAAGTAGGGCTTTGGCAGGGAGGGTTCCAGGAGATTATAATCTTATGGGTGAAAAAGCATGTCCTGTTTTGTCCTAAGTGTGGCTTATTGAGCTTGAAGCTGTTGACCCTTGAATATGTTACATTTGACCCTTTAGAAAAGTGGTCTGGATTAATATCCAGACCACTTGTTCACCAATCCACCAACTTGTTCAGTATTTTAAGTCACTATGAGAACAGCCTTGTCATGTCTGATTTGCAGTACTCACCTAGTTGTACTCATCTAGTTGTGTTTGCGGGGGTTGAGCTCTGACTCTTTGGTCATGCCTCTCAACTGTCAATCAACTGGTGTACAGATTCCTGAGCCTATTGGGCTCTATCATATCTACATTTGAAACTGTGTATGGAGTCTGCCTCCACCACAACACTACTTAATGCATTTCTTTTGTTAACTACCCTGACACTGAAAAAATTCTTTCTAACGTCTCTGTGGCTCATCTGGGTACTAAGTTTCCACCTGTGTCCCCTAGTTTGTGTTCCACCTGTGCTAAAGAGTTTGTCTTTGTCCAACCTTTCAATTCCCCTGAGAATTTTGTAGGTGGTTATTCTGTCTACCCTTACTCTTCTGTTTTCCAGGGTTGTGAGGTTCAGCTCCCTTAGCCTTAACTCGTAACTCATTCCTCTCAGTTCCGGGACCAGTCTGGTGGCATACCTCTGAATCTTCTCTAACTTCGTCTTGTGTTTAACTAGGTATGGACTCCAGGCTGGAGTCCATGCAGTGTTACTAGTCCTATGGCCTCAATCATTCATGGTATGGAGTCAACTTAGTTCTGGGATAATCTTTGTCACTCCTTGTTGAACTTTTTCCAAAGATGTTCTTTTCAAAGAGAAGTCAACATACTTGGATATAATAGTCCAAACTGGGGCACACCAGAGACTTCTTCAGTTGAATAACCACTTTTTACTCTGCACAACTATTCCTGCTCACATGCAGGTGTTTTTGTATTCTCCATGGTTGTTTGGGATGTTCCTTGGTTGTTCCTGCCCATGTGTCTTTTTGGGTACCATCAAGTTTCCTGGATTCATCCCCTTTCTGGGGTTTTCCTTTTGAGGTTTGAGTTTTGGATCTCATCCCATGCCTTGGCTTGCAGGCTTCCTCTTTTTAGGGGGGTTTGAAACACTGCTTCAGTTTCCCAGCCAATTTGGGGGCACCCCATTCCTCTGGTTCCCTTGTGGTGCTCTGCTATTGCCTTTGGCTCCTTTTTGGGATAAGAGTTTGAAGGGGTTTTTACTTTAAGTTCAGAGCACTGTGGGCTGTGTCCTGGCTTATGGTGGCCCACTTGGCTCTTTACCCTCTTTCCAGGTTTGTTTCCTATGTCTGGGGCTGACTTCCCCTCTGCAGCCCCATTTGGTCATTGCAAGTGGGTTAGATGTTTGGCAGTTCAGTTATCCTGCCATTCTTGGTGGGTTCCCGTTTTGTATTTTCTTGCTTAAATCTCTCTGGTTTTTCGTTTGGCTTTTTTTTTTGGTTGTATCCCTCTTGTGTTCTTTTGTCTTCTCACTTAACCAACCAGGTTTTTGTTGTGGCCTTCTGAGCAGCTACAGGCTGCCTTTTGGCTGATCCAGTTTTCTTTCCAGGTTTTTGGTTGTTTTCACTGGGGAGTTCTCATTTGCCGGTTCGGTTTTTTTTCCTTTTGGCTTCTTCCGGTTCTTCAGTTTTTTGCCATGGGGCATGGTTTGCCATTTATAGTGTTGTGTTTTCACTTCTGGCCTGCGTTGATGGCTGGCTGGTTTGGGCATCTGGCTAGTCTGTCTGCAAGTTGGGGTTCTGGGCTTTGCTTTTGTACTGGATTCCAGGTTCTGGTGATTTGGTGACAGTCTCGTCTGATTTTATTGCGGGTTCAGACCTGGTTGGGTTTGATCTTTTGATTTTTCTTTTCCCTTCTGCCTGTATCCTTGCGATGCTTCGAGAAGCATTTCTGGCTATTGTGGGGAGTCCCTGGCTTTTCAATCATTGACTTGAGTGGCTGTGTGGGAGTCTATCCCTTGCATGCATCGCTGTTCATCTTTCTAGGATTTTGCTCCAGGAGCTGCATTTTCTCTGTGGTGGAAGCACCAATGTGCCACAATAGGACACCATTATGGTGAGAAGGTTGTGGAGGCTAGAACTGTCAGTAGTTCCAAAGCGTTATATGACAGAGAGTGCTGGGAGGAGGGGACACCACGAGGGTAGTTCTCATCCTGTAACTACACTTACCAGTAGGTAATACTGTACAGTATAGGAGCCCTCCCAGAAAACCAGCATTTGCATATAGTGAAATGACTCTTTCTGGCAGCTCCTTGGGACCCTCCCTTCCTCATTCAGGGGCTTCAGTTTTTATGTTCTCCTGGCTAAATGATTTAGGTTCAATGCCAAGAGTTTAAGGAGAAAGGTGTGCAATCCCTTGGTGGTGCGCAGGTGGAACTATTGAGAAAACTGCTTCATGATTGTACAGTTCGTTCATCACAGGGCTTCATTGTCACATATCTATTCTTTATTTACTTTGCAGTTTGTATATTTTGGTTTACCCTCCTTTCTAGTTGCTATTATGACTAGCCTAGTCAAGGTAAATAACTTAAAACTTAATATAAATAGCTTCTGTTAGATTTGTATGTGTAATTGATCAAGAGAGACAGTTGTTGATTAATTTAAGATGCTGCTAAGGGGAAATGTGTATGTAAATTTAGCGCCGAGTGTATGTAAATTTGAGTTCGAGTAGCCATAATGATAGCCAGACATTTGCCAGGCTAAGCTATTGTTTAATTTGGATATTAATGTTGCCTTACATTGTTATGTAGGATAATCACTTGCATACTGTTTATTTAAACCATATAATAAGAAACATATTACTGTAAATATACTGTATCCTATTGTAAACATAGATTTTTAATAAAACTAAATAAAGAATGAAATCTAGGATTGTGTTTGATTTAATTATTTTTCTAATTGAAATATTACTGTGCCGGGTTTGCTATGGAGGGATGTGTCTTGGCAACGCAGCGAAACATGTGACGATGAAGGTTGCTCTTTTGTGTGGAGGAATAGTTGCAGTGGGGACATCCAAAAGGTTTCTCTCCAGTGTGCTTCCTGATATGCTTGAAGTAGTTAGTCCTAATGGTGGTGGTGTAAGGGCAGTAGGTGCAGAATAGGTTACGATGAGGGGTTTGCTGCTGATGTTGGTGATGCTGACTGGTCATGGCAGATTGCGGTTGGGATACCCATACTTCCACCCCAGCACACCCACTGCTCATCTGTCAAGAGTGATAGGGAGTCCAACAGTGACACAGTTATAAGGTAGCATAGAACAGTTGCATGATACACTTGCATAATAAAGTTCTGAAGTTACAAATACTGTACTCACCTAATTGTGCTTGCGGGGGTTGAGCTTTGGCTCTTTGGTCCCGCCTCTCAACTGTCAATCAACTGGTGT